TTGCATCAGGGCTACACAATTTGAGACTACAACTATGTAATAGATTCATTGATGCCATTGAATTTGTTACCGCATACAAGTATACGCAGATGTAAATGGCTAGGAAAGCACAATGATAAACTGACCAATACATATGAAATTTTGATGTGATACACATGACGTCACAGTTCAACGCATGTTTGTATTGGTTTGAACATTATGTAGCCAGCTGCGGCGATATACAATGTAAATATACGTAACATTTGATGAACTAAATCAAAATCTATGAAACAAATATTTGTTAATTTTAAATAAAAAATGAATGAATGAATGAAACGACACTATTTTTCATTTATCTTTGAAATTTATTGTTGAAATTTCCAATGCATTGAATCGCATCGCATACAAATGTTTTTATCGATGACTTTTTTTTCTGACATTTATCTATTTTTTGAGCGCTGCTGTACCTGTATAGCAAATTGGTTCGAGTGGCGGTCGGTCCATTGTGCTCTGCATCCGAAGGTTATAAATTCGCTCCTGATTGCTGCAGAGTTACAACCCATTCTTGGAAAAGTTTGATATTTGTCTCACTTTACAAACTATAGAACGGTTCTTGGGGGGGTATTGTATGGATTTATGTGCGGTAAAGACTCAATAAAGAATATCATAAAACATATCAACACAAAACGAACAGCTTTACTCTGCATGCATCCAACAATTTTTTTGCAATTTTTTTTTTCATTTCCTTCTACATACCTTCTAAAAATTCAAACGAAATTTATTTTGTTTAGTTTACATGTTTATTTTTATCGTCGTAATATTGCGTTTTCCGTTGAATACCATTTAAATAAATGGAAAATTTCGTATTGAACTTAGAAAAAAAGCAAACCTATTACAATTTTTAATAACACAAATAAAATTTGTCCGACCCTTGAAATTAAGCCACACATGTGATACGCTGTCTGTCATATGTAGAATATGTGTACATATATACATGCGCAGAGCAATATCACACAGGGGAAACACTTCAAATCACATTTTGTTCATACTTTTGAATTCAAAACGAAATCATAACAAATCAACGGCTAAATTAAACCAAAAATGAATCATAATAAAACTTACTTTTTTTTAACTTTTTGATGGTGTGATGTTGAGCCATTATTATAAAAGAAACAATGATGTTTGGTAGTTCTTTGAGCCGATGAGTCATGATGTTATGTGACTTCTATTTATTCTGTATATCATTTGATTTACTCGAAATTGAATCATTTTCAATCTATTTCTACAAGAATATAAAATCGAATATGTGATGATGCGTTAATGCATTCAAAATCGATGCAATAGAATCGTCGATCAATTTGTCTTTTGGTACATCAATTTGCAATGATCCGGATGGCACACAAACAATTTTAACTCTCCAAATGTTACCTTACCTTCTCTGCTCTTTCATGCAGTATTCTATATGTTGTTCTTTCTCCATAGCGAAGTGCAGCTGAAATTGGTAAAAGCGCTAAATAAAAATGTTCATCTCGTTAATTCAATAATAATAATTATTTCATACAAAGAGAAATTTGCATTGATTTTACAATATTTGTTGTTGTTTCTTTAGTTACACATTCTTCGTTCATTTTAATTTCTTTCACACACAAATTGTTTTTTTTTTCTTCTTGAATGCTTTTGGTTTCTATTCAGATAGTATCATCAATCGTTCTTCTTTTATTTCAATATATAAATTGTCCACTGTCTCGTGAACGGGTTATTCAATTTGTTTGTTTTGTTTTGTTTTTTTGTTTGTTTGATTTTTCCATTTTTAAAAATAGTGTGAACTCCAACATCGAGAAGTGCTCTCCGCTCGAAGTTCATCCACAATGAATAGTTTTTTTTTTTTTTTTTGAATAAATGAACGAAAATTTGAATGAAAAAAATGCCATTTCTCCACATTCTAGAATAGAATGCACATTTCATTAGCATATATGTTTAGTCTAGGCGAAGACACAACATCCTATTGGATTGAAACAAAATGACTTGGTTTCATGTTCTTTTAAAAACAAAATTGCTGCTTTGAAATTGGGTGTTTTCACTTTTTATAATAATTATATTTATATATTTATATATATGTTTGCTCTAAAGCTAAGGAATTTTCTCAAAGATGGTCAAAGTCCCGAAGGGAAAAAAACGTCTTAAGATTTTTTTTTTCTTCTTTTCTTCATTTAAGTAATGTAAATACAAAATGCCGGTGTTCAAAGATGTGAATCTCATGCATGAATATGTATTTTGTTTTTGTTTGTAGCATTTTTTCTCTCGCTCTTTCACTCCCTATTTTCATTCTTCTACTTTTGTTTTTCTTATATTTTGTGGTGGATTTGAAATCCGATGGCCACATTGCTTGGATTTACTCATCATTTAAATCATTTCCTCTTTTTTTTCCCACTTCAAAGACACTCAGTAGTGTTGATTCGAAAGAAAAGAACGCGCCCATTTGGTGCTACTTGCCAAAATGCCATCTCATTAATTCGATCAAAAATTTGTTTCGTTTTTTTTTACATCGTGATTCAGTGTTTATTTCTCATTTTTTTATATGCCTTACATAGTAAATGTATGTATTTTGAATCGTTTGCCAATGATATCGATCAAAATTCTACTGAAATTCGATCAAAACACATCAAATGATCGATATCATTGTAATTTTCTGTTGATGTTGTCCTCATTCATATTGAATATGAAAGAACTTCTGTTTTCAATCGCAAGGCAGCGATTTGTTTTCACATTTTTTTTGTTTTAATTTTTACATAATTGTTACTGTTGTGTGTGTGTGTGTGTGTGTGTGTGGTGGAAAAACAAAATAAAAAAAAGTTAAACGAGAACTAGATTGAAACAGTGTCTTGGGGAAACGTTGACCACCCCATTCCATCATCCATTTTTATCATCATCGTTTCTTATCCATAGGAAAACATTACATCATGGATGATTCCACCAGATATGGATGATGGGGTAGTGATCTGCATATTAAATTATTCTTAAATTTAAATCGCTGTACGCGCATTATTAGAGCACATCATCTATTTCAGAAAAGAAAAATTAGTATGGGGTTACAAATGTTCCATAATTTGTTTGTAAATGTGTCAGAGAAACGACACACGGCTAATTCGATCAGTGTTGCATATATAATAGTGTCTAGAGAGAAAGAAAAAACAAATTTTTTTAGCGACGCGCGTCACTTGATGGCGATGGAATCAATTCGACGATGAACAATTACGCGTATTTCAAGCATTCGCAAACCGCTTCAAGTGTAAGGTGCTTACAGTAAGCACGACGTTGTTTGTCATCTTTGCAATAGACACACTTTGGCGATAATAAAACGGAAAATTAAGAACATTTTCAATCGAACACATTCGATTATCTCCCTTGCAAATGCGCATCGGGCTTCGGCTCCAAATGGCCAATCCAAAAATTTTATAAATCTTAAAAACAGATGACAAAATAACGACGACAACGACGACAAAAACAAAATAAATTCAAATGGCCAAGGTTATTTTTATTCCTGCCAACAAATTGTATGTGTGTGTTCGGTTACATTGCACCGAACACAATGTGCAACAACGATATAAATCCAATGGAGTCGAAAAAAAAGAAGAAAAAATGAATTAGAAAAACGAAGGAATTTTTAGACAGAAAAAAAAAATTGTAACATAAATCACACCAAATACAACACATAACGACGCTGACGACGAAGAAAAGAAGTTCCATTAAGATGTTTGCTTGTTGATTTGTCAAAAATAAAATAGATTCAACGACAATTTTTTGCTTTCCATTTCGCTGCACATCAGGCTCAGTGTGTTCGGATAAGTCTCGGTCTCAGATTCATACAACAAATATAAATCTTACACCAACTTTGGTCTCTATTTCGATCGTTCTTACTCTCTCACTCACTCACTGACTCACTGACTCACTCTCTCTCTCTCTCTCTCTCTCTCTCTCTCTCTCTCTCTCTCTCTCTTTCTCTCTTTTTTCACACTCACTCTTTCACTTTTTCTCGCTTTCTCTTTCGCTTGGTCTCACCCGTTTCCGCATTGTCAACGCGTGTCTTGTGGAAGTGTGTAGAAAAACCCGAAATGTGCTCACGCGTTTCAAAACCGTTTTTTTTTTTCATCTCATATGTGTTATTTTTGTTACAATTCATTGTGTTCTCTTTTTTTTGCTTGTGGTTTTTTTTTTGTATCATTTATTTCTTTCATCAAAAAAACATGTTTCTTCTTCACACACATAGTATAAAACCATATATTCTATACCTATATTCGGAGATAATCTAGATGGCTGGCCGATACGAATGCAGCTCTTAAATTGTTGTTTTTGTTGTTGGTGGTGAGGCCCAGCAAATGATAATTCGTGCCGCGCACGTCCTATGTGAATGAATGCGAACGCACGTGTTCTCTATCTTTCTCCAACCATTTTTCTCCTCACATATCGTATGTGCTCTTCGTTCAAAGTATATATATATATATATATATATATATATATATATATATATATATATTTGTTTTTATTCATCTCAAGTTTTTATATATATATATATATATCATTTGCTTTTCTATCAATTAATTAAATTTGTTAAGCTAAAAATTGATGGATTTTTTTTTTGTGTTGTTGCTTTTTTTTGTTTGTTCAAAAAGTTATTTTTCTGTTGCGGTTTTGGGCAAATGAAATTCCTATATATATATATTTTAAACCGCATCATGAAAATGAACGCATTCCGATTGATTGCGTTTATATTTATTTATTTTGCTTTCTCATGTTTTGTCTAAGAATGCATCGACTATTCGAGTAAATATGTGTTTTTTTTACGTCGCCCTCGTATAAGATGGCCATAAATTGGGGAGAGCATTTGCTTGAGTTAACATTTGTGGTTGTTGTTGTTGCTTTTTGTTATCATTTTGAGGTTTGCATAATTCTTTTTTTCTTATTACATCTCTTGTTGCTTTGATTTATTCTTTTTGTTGTTATGGCTAATAAAACATTGTCTCTGTTTTGTTGTTTTTCTCTTTATTTATCTCGGGCCGTTGTGTTAATTAATTAACTTTCATCGTTACAATTTTTTTTCTCTGCTTCGGTTTAAATGAATTTTTTTCTCTTTAAATCAGTGAGTTTGAAACTTGCAATCACTTTGCATTCTCTTGTCTCGAAAAAAAAAAATAACAAAAATAATTCTTTGTGTTCCACATATATTATGTGTGTGTTTTTTTGCTCAAGTTTTGTTTGTTTGCTAGTTAAAAGAGTTTTTCATTTTGAATTCTGTTTGTTTGTTTGTTTTTTTTTTTTTTTTATTCTTCCATTAATATGAAAAGTTGGATTTTGTTGCTTTTCAAAAAATTTCAATAATTTATACATACACTAGAAAAAATAATGTTCCACGCTGTGTAGCGCCAGCCCCGTGCACGCATTCGAATTCATGCATTTTGTATGTGTACATTATTTGTTTTTATCTCTTTCAATTATTTTCCCGCGGATATTCGTCGTGTGCTTACAAAATTGTTTCTTCTTCTTCTTAACAAACAGAAAACGAAAATTTAAAAAAAAAAATCTCTATCTTCTTATCGCATGCGATTGTTCTATTCTGATGCGCATGTGAGCGTGTGGGGGCATCTATCATTGTTATTTTTGTGTTTTTTTTTGTTAAACGCATGTTCAATGTGTGTGTTTTTTTTTTAGTTTCTTTGATTGATATTCTTTTAAACTCAATTTAGTAAAAATGGCATACGAATCCGTTTCCTACTACTAAATTACTTTTTGTTGTTGTTGTTGTTGTTGTTTGTTTCAAATGTAATATTTTGCTCTTGCAATTTATCTATGTATAAAATCAAAACAAATATTTTTTTGTTTGCAATTTTGTTGTTTCTGACATTTTTTCTTGTTGTTGTGATTGTATTTGAATATGAGTGTGTTTTGAGTGTGTTTTTTTGTGTGTATATGCTGCTTGTTTGCTCCTAATTTTCCACGGTGTGATCTCTAACATGTTTATAAATTATGTGTATTTAACGTTTGTTATTCTTATTGTTGTTGTTTGGGGTTGCTTTATTAATTTTGTTTCGGTTTGTGTAGTTTTTTTTTTGCCTTTCTGTGTGTGTGTGTGAGGGGGAGGGGAGTGGTTGTAATGTTTTCTCTCAGCAGCATATTGGATTCAGGTTTTTAACCCAAGCTTGGAAAATCGTGCTCATCATCGACTTTTGGTGCATTTTGACGGCGATCATCCTTTGTGTTGCGTGTGAAAGAGAATGAAAATAAAGAATATTTAGCCAAAAGAAGCCTTATTTTAGTGAATCAGTCGTTTTTTTTTCAAAGGAAAATCCACTTTTGATCGCAAAATAACAGTGCAAAATTCAATGGATGGATACTTACGAAACGTTGTCCTCGGTCCTGACGGTTGCGATATGATTGGTTGCGGCGACGATTGTTATTGTTAGTGTTGTTGTTGTTGTTGTTGTTGTTGTTCGTGTTGTTGGTATTGGCAGCAGTGACGACGACGGCAGCGGTGGCAGCGGCAGCGGCAACGACAGCGTTTGTGTTGGCGTTGTTGTTGCTAGTGTTGCTGCTTGGTTTCTCGTTACCATTTGCTGGGGCGCTATTGATAAAACATACACACATACACACAAATCATGTAAATTGATTTCTATGTTCGAATGGGGTTTTGAATGACATTTTTCGCGTTGCTCAAGATTAAATGGATGATTTTAATTGAGCAAAGCAATTTAGAACGTGAATCTAAGCCAAACCTTCCAGTTTGAATAGATTCTTATAAGATTAGATAGTTTTATGGACCTTATAACTGTTACAGCTTAATTATGAACAAATCCTATCTGAATATAGCTTTAATCTAAGTAGAAAGTTTAGAAATCAACAGATCTGAATACAAAAACTGTGTGTTTTAAGGATATTTTCTAGGAAATTCTTTCAGAAGAAGTACGAATAAGAGAATAAAATTTGAAAAAGAAACAAATTGATTCCAATTTCTGTTTGCGTGAACGGAATTTTTTCGATGAAATCTTTCAAAAGTCGATATTTCCGACGATATGCTTTAAAAAAATGATTTTTATTCTAATGCTTTGGATTTCTTGAATAAAAAAAGTCTTTGAAGCTTCAAAGAAAAGCCTTTAAACTGCAAATAGACTATTGTCACCGTTTCGAATCCGTTTTCAAGTCGTTTATTTTGCTTTCATAAGCATTCATTAGTGACAACAAATGCAACGCTCTCTATTCGTGCAACTGGCTGCCATTTTGCTGACATATCGAATATCAAGCAAAGTGTAAAAAGAAATGCATACCTGGGTAGAGTGACTGCATCACCGGCTTCGTTTCCGTTATATGTGCGTTGACCACGTGGACGACCTCGTCTTCGGTTAACTCCACCACGTGGACCGTCATTGAAATGAATATCAATATCAACGAATTTCTGGCGTCCTACCCGTTGCGGATACATGGATGGATCGTATTCATATTCCTCTTCGCTTTCATCAGACTAAAATCGAAGTGGAAAAAAAAACAACCAAAAATTACACACACATTCAAACGAAACCAAATTGAGTTTGTCGGAACAAAGGTCGACAGACTGATGAAATGCTAAATACATGTGTGTTTATGGTTACCTTCTTCTTTCGGTTATCAAGAGCAATCATTTTCTTCCATTGTGATGTGTCCTCGCCTTCTCCAGCTTTTCGGATATTGTATTGTGGCTTGGCGCGTTCGGCTCTTTGAGCCTTCCATTCATCCAATGTGATTTCTTTGGCTTCTTCTTCGATTTGTACCTGTTCTGCAGCAGTGTCCTTACCATTTTGTTCAGCATCGCCTTTAGCATCGCCATTGTTAGCCTTGTCCTCTTTTTTCGAATCATCCGTATTTTCATAGCCCTTTTGATAGTCATCAATGTCCTGTTTGTGTGTGCCCCAGTTATGGGCGCCAGCGCCATCGCGTTTGTCAATAGCCTTCACACCAGTTTTATCGGAACCAGATTGACGATCAAATTCACGTTTGCCATATTGACGACGATTTTGTCCACGGTCATTTCGATCACCACGATCACCACGGTCACCACGATCGACCCGGTCACCACGATCGACCCGGTCTCCACGATCGACCCGGTCACCACGGTCACCACGGTCGCCACGGTCATTTCGGTCATTGCGATCATTTCCACGATTTCCACGATTATTACCACCAGCATTCGTATTACCATCAGCACTGTTCAACGGTTGATTTTCACGGTTTTTCCGATTGAAGCGTTGTTCACGATTTTCGCCATTTTGATGAGCTACATCAGTTTTCCGTTCAGCGTTCTTATTGTCCTTGCCTGCTTCGTTTTGATGAAACGGACCAGTAAGAAAAGAAAGATGAATTTCATCAGAAAAACAACAACAAAAACACAAAATATGATATAATCAAGGCATTACAAATAGAGAGATTGACAAACACACACCCAAACATGTGCTTTAATGAGAATAGTGTACAGTTTTTCATTATTGTTTTTTGAATCATGTGCATATAGCATTGGACATTGAAACATTGCCCATATTTGAATTCGCATTCGTATTCTCTCACACTGTGAATATGCCCAAAAATGGTTTGAGCTAATGTAAAATTGTGCTAAAATCTCGCACACAAAGTGAAAAAATAATAATTCTTCTGAATGAATTCAGAACCATGTGCCCTGAATGAAAGCAAGAGCTAAATTCGATATTGTCACTTATTTTTTGGGGTTAATTGAAAATCCACCAGAAATTGCATACATATTCGATACACGTGCAAACATCTACCTCATGCCCGTTAAGATGTCAACTCTTGATTTATGCTCTTGCACGATGTGTGCCAATCTACATATATGCGGCATAATAATTTTTTCATGTCTGCCCGTCGCTGCCACTGTCGTTGCGATATCAATAGAAAACAACAAGCCAAAAGAATCTTCGCCGTGACGCATAATCGCGCAAAATATAAGGCACACACCGACTAAGAAAACGAAGTAGGCAAAACAAAAAAAAAGGTGATATTCACAATAACAAAGACCCCGAATGCGAATAGAATGAAAAAAGCAAGTAGGCAAAAAAAAAACGAAAGAAGAAATAACAAAAGAAGAAGAAGAAAAGCCACACTGTGTCGGACGGGTTGAAAATGTAAAAATGTGTGTATGCGAGTACTAAAGCGAGCGAGGTGTGAGAGACACTAACCTTCACGTGGTCCTCGATCGTTGCGGTTACTTTGCTGTTGACCATTTTGATTAGATGCGCCGCTTTTAGCCGATTTTCCAGAGTTTGCCTGTTGTTCCTTTTGTTGTTGTGGTTGAGCCTTTGTCGATGCGGTTGGATTCGATGCCTTGTTTGAGTTAGCTGGCTTGTTCTCCTTTTCAACGGCGCCTACTTATTTATTTATTGCGTTGCATTGGCAAAATATGTATGAGAAGAGACAAAGAGAAGAAGACAACAACAACAACAAAAAATGAATAAAATAAGCAGATGTAAGACAAATATTTGTAATAAACATTCGATTTTGTTATTATTGTTGTGGTTATTGTTAAAAAGAGTACGGGGTTAATTTGGCGCAACTGTCATCAGTACTTTTCAATTGCGATTGCATGCCATTATACACATTATACCGAGAGGATATTCGGTTGATAATGTAACACAATTGTATAAATATAGTTGAAAAAAGAAAAAATTGAGAATTTCTTTTCGTTTTATTTTTTACAATAATCGAGATGAGAGTTTTTTTTGCCTCGTTGTGCGCGCTGTGGTTCAACCAGAGAGCGATAACTAAATTATAATGAACTGAGTCATATGGCGAACGAGAATTTTTATTTCGAACCGAAAATGGAATCGCGACACAGTGAGTGTGTGCGAGAGCGAGAATCAAATGGGTAATTATGCGATTACTTTGGTTAGAGCCATTTAATTGAGATTTTCAGTCACATTTTTCTCCTTTTTTTTTCTTTGCTTTTTTGACATATTCTATCTGGTTGGATAATTATTACTGCTAATAATTCTACATCATAACCTTCGATCACGTCAGTTTTTTTTCTTACTTTTCTACTTCTTCTTCTTTTCTCATTTGTTTCACATATATATATTCACACACACACACACACACCGATACACATGCACACGAGCACACGATTTTTCTTGAGCGATGATTTTCCTTGCTGCTTTTCCGTCTTACATTTTTTTTCTCTCGCACCGATTGCACCGATTTGGGGGAAATTGACCGTTTCAAAATGCGGGAAGGAAAAATGAGACTGATGAAGAAGCAACAACAACATAAAAAAAAACAGCCCAAATTTCTTGTCACCGAACACAATAGCACATTGTGCATATGACATGAGATATTGCGTCCAATTTTTTTTTATTTTGATTCATTTCGTTTTTTTTTTCTTTCTCTTTTTGGAATATCATGGGCTCACCCGTCAATGTGTCTCAATGATTAAATCGCTCGGATTTTTTTTCTGCTCGATTAATTTGGTTTCAAAAATACTTGTCATGAATTAATTGGCTCACATTTTGTTCGCGAAGCATATCGAAATATCGAAAATAACGTTAATCACTTGGATGAGCACGCGAAAAATGTGTTATGATAGATTTTTTTTCACGGATATTTTTCCTTCAAAACCGATATATTTTTTTGTTCGTGTTCTTTTTTGCAATCGATTAGATAAAAGAAAAACAGGCCACTGAGAATTAGTACTGGAATTAACTGTATACTTTGCGCTTAAATTTATTTATTTTTTATTTTTTTTTTTTTTTCAAATAAATGATTAGTTTTTTTTCTGGACTTGGATAATTGGAATCTATAGTATCTATCTATATAAATATAAATATAAATATGAATATGAATATGATTAGGGTTTATTATTTATATATATATTTTTTTTTCTTGATTTCGTACCACCATTAGCCGCTACATTTGCAGATGCTGCTGCTGCTGTTTTTTTCTGTTGTTTTGCTTTTTTAATTGATTTATTTGTGGCGGTTCCAGCCTCTTCGTCCACATAAAACAATTCGTAACGATTTGCAATGCCAATGCCGTACGAATTTTCCATTTTTTAGGCGTTTTTTAACGGCGATGATGTCCGATTTTTATGGATATTGTACTACAATAAAATTTCAACAAAATTTACCGATTTTTATTCCCAAGGAGGAATTCAATATCGATGTGTGAGAGAAAACGTACTGCTATTGGCACCACAGAGACAGAGAAAAATACGAATTTGCGCTCACACTGACACTTACATGAGACTCACATATACACACGCATACGCATACGCATACAATACGGGCACGCTCGGTCTCTCTCTTTCACTCGCTCTGTCTCGCGCCCGCTGCTTTGATTCACTATGAATATTGTGGTATAGATATCGCGCGCGCAGTTCCATCGGTGCATGGTTACGTATATGGTTACGGTAGTGGTGTGCGTGCGATTTGAGCTCATGTTCTCTCTCTCTCTCTCTCTCGATTTGGTTACGCTCTCTCAGCACATTCGGCGCAGTCGTATCAGCGGTCAAAATGTGCCATGCTCGAACCCTGCTAGCATTTTTTGCACACCATTCAAACGGATATTCGAAGTGATGCGATGAAATAATCAATGACAACAAGAATAATTATCGGAAATATAAAAAATATTCAACTCTGTCCCATTTTCATTGGTAAATTCACCATTTCAACGGCTGTTATCGATCATTTAACAGTGAAAACCAGGTTTTTCCACATTTGACAACCGTCAAGTTGCTCACTGGGCCAACATGCGATAGAAGGTAAAACGTGAGAATGTGAAGAAGAGAAAAAATAAATAAATATAAAATTGAGAGAATATCTTAGAACTAGTGCTGCCACTAGTCAGAACACTGGCAATTGTACGCACTATCGTTGCTCTCTCGCACACATGTCGTTCCGTTTTGACGGATACATCGTCGGTTCGTCGCATGTCAAAAGTGACAAGAGGAAATTGCAATTTACTCTCTCGAACACACTCTCCCGTATCCACCATCATCGAGCAGGCCGAGCACATTGTGCTCAAGCAACACAATCACATTTTTTTTTTCGTTCTTCTTTCTTCGTTTGCTGCTGCTTCCATTTCTTGTTCGTGTGTTCTCAATGACAAATGAATGAGTTTAAAACTAACCTTGTTTTTCTTTCACTTTCAATATAAACAAATGTGTGTGCGCGTGTGACATGAAACGCGTTCGTTTTCATTCCGAAAATATATGACACAATTAGATTCGTTACGATTTGTTTTGAAAATGCAATTCAATTGATATGGTATTGGAATTTAAATGAATGAAAAATGAATTCGGAGATTTTAAGTGTGTTTCGCTTTATTTGTATTTGTTTGCTTTGTTTTTGTTTTTCAATTAAAAACTAATACAATGGTTAAATGCACCCAGAACATGCTCTTATCTACTATTATTATTTTAATGACTAAGTCTAATTAAACGGTCAGAAATTGTTGATTGGACAAACAGCATATTAGCTACACTTTTTACAGCATTTTATTATTGAGTTTGAATTGGATCTTTCTTCATTGGATATTTTTGAATCGACCGACTTTTCTTTCTGTTTTTCTGAAAAAATTTCTTGGTCTCTCTTCTTATTTTCTGGTTTTCCTTATAGCTGCACTTTTTTTCGAATCAAAATAGAAACGCAACGCTTCTTTCAGATCTTTTTTTTTGTTAGAAATTCGATGGTTACAACCAATTTCGTGACCACAGACCAAACATTCCGGTGCACCCAATAAATTTAATTCAAGTACAGACAACAAGAGAAAAAAAACGATTGATTTGTTCGATTTTAAGGCACATTTTGTTATAAGTGGTAAGACTTTGTGTTTGACGTTACAATAGACGTTGCGTGCAATACACTTAAAATAGCCAACGATCATCATGATTGACTATCAACATTGCGGCATCATGCTTATTGAGTATGAAAATTCAAAATATATAGACGGAACAGTTTTTGATCGAGATTAATGAATCTATGGCTTGGCTTGGCTTTCCTTGAAACTTAAAACTTCTAAATGCACATAAATATGGAAAAATTAAAATAAAGAAGAAACTATTTGTATCGTTGAAATGGTAACAAAACAACCTGATTTTTTTTTACTTATATATGTTTCCATGGCTTAAAATTAAGATTAAGATTGTGCAAGTTCGAGATTTTGTTCTAACATAATCGATTAATAGTTGGGCAGAAGTTATTCAAACCACGTATCAGACCGGTCATGCCATCTCTACCAGAATGATGAAAATAGTCGCTGCTGGGAAAGAAACAATTTTTTTATTTTGAATATTAGTAATTCATTTGAAATCTTGGTTGAGTGAATCGGATTGATTTTTTTTTTTTGCACGACATAATACTTACACCAACGGATGATGAGCCGGAACCATTGCTTACTTCTTGTTGATGATGATGTCCATAACCTTCTCTGTGGCGTGATGCGAATGTTGAGATTGTGTTTTTGACACGCTCTGCTGCAGCTACTTCTTCTCCGTCATTGTTCAACAATGATGTTTTCATGGTGTCGCTGACGAACCATTTTTGTTGCTTCATCACAATTGTTTGTGGTGGTTCGTGAGTGGTGCCCGTGTCCGAACTCCATACGGTGACCGTGCCTTGGGGTTCGATTTTCACGGAACGATGGAACTTGAAGCTGGTCTCATTTGCACCAGCCGTACGCAATAATTGCCAGTTACCCAAACTGATTTCCTGTGTGGAGAAATATTTTTATATTTTTTTAGAAGAATCTCAAGAGAAAATCCAACTGGAAATTGGGAACGTTTCATGGAAAATCCATACAAACCTTATCGCCTTTGTTGAACAATTTAACGAATTTGCCTTCGGCATCGAAATCGGTGATTTCAACGTCTCCTTTAGCCGATGAAGTGATCGAATAGTCAGACAATGAACGTTCTTCCGATTCATCGATGGTTGTACGCTTTCTCTTGCCAGCTGGCCCAACTGATACCCGTCGGCTTGGGCTACTGACGATGCTTGGTGTAATACGACCGGAACGATGATGATGTTGATGAACCGAAAGTGATCCGGATGTGTTGTTGGTGTTACTGTCAAATGATGTGGAACTTGGACGAGTGATGTTCAAACGTTGTTCTTCACCCGCCAGCAATTTATCGTAGGCAGCCAATTCTAAGTCCAATGACACCTTGATATCCATTAAATCTTGGTATTCTTGCAATTGCTGGGCCATTTCTTGACGCAAACGGGCCAACTCGTTTTCAAGGTCACCACGACGACCAATTTCAACCTCCAATTGAGCTTCCAAATCACCAATTTTGCTGTAAAATGAGAGGCAGAAATTAGTCATACCATAGGTTAGAATATTTTACATTAGAATATATCAAAATAAATCGGATTTGGAATTGAAGAAATTCTTCAAAAATGAATAAAAAAAAACTCGGAATAAAAAACACCCAAAAATCCTATTTAAAATGAAAATTCACGTTTCCATCACAAAATGATTAATAAAACATCATTTTTCAAAGAATTTCAACCGGTCATTTCCGCACTTACCTCTTAAGTGTAGCATTTTCGGCTTCCAAATCGTTGATTTTGCCATGCAGAGTGTTAAGCTGTGACCGAGTGCTGCGAAGTTCATCAAAAGCAGCGCTTGCGGTGCGACCGTTGCGAGTGGATTCATTCTGGATATTCTTCAATTTAGCATCCCACAATGAGTCGACTTCTTCGCGGTTGGCACGAATTTGAGCTTCGTACTGTTCACGCAATTCGCGCAATGATTGTTGCAATTTAGCTTCGTATTGTTCAGCCAGCCGGCCATCGATTTCGCTGATTTCGACCTGTGTACGTTTGCGTGTATCGGTCAATTCTTGAACATGCACTTGATCACGGAATGCCAATTCTTCGCGTAAACTTTGTGCAGCATTTTCACGATCAACCCGAGCCAAAGTTTCGGCTTCAAGAGCCTTACGCAAATCGTCCAATAGGCGTTTCAATCGGTCGATTTCCTTTTGCAATTCCTTGGCTTCATCGATGGCCTTCTTGCGATCCAAACAAGCCGCATTGTACTTGTTCTGAATGTCGCTGTATCGTGTTTCGTACAAACGAGCCAATTCCAATTCTTTGCGTTGCTTCTCCAAACTGAAACATAAAATAGATACAAAAAAAAAACATTATCGTCACATTTTTCATGGCTTTCATTGTGATTGTGTCTTCAATATTTTCCAATGGCAAATAACGCTCATAATTGGTCATAAATTCGGGATTTTGACAAGGAAATTGACCGCATTAATTACATCGTTTAGCATCGTTTCGCACTGGGGCGCGCGCGCATTTTGTTTTATTCGGTTCTCAAGAAAAATTACAATTATGAGGAATATGAATGTGAATGACAATGCTCTATGGTATAGTCAGCCACATGATGTAGTTTGTTGGCCATTTTTGTTGTTGTGCCTTCTTATAGTGTCGAATTTATCAATAGGCGATGATGTCACTCGGTTGAAGCGCGCACGACCGCACAACAGCAGCAGTGGCATCAACGCCATTAACCTTCATTCAAAATACGAAACAAGCACCAAGCACATTCCACACGAGGTTTTTTTTTTGGGGGGGACTATGGAAATGGTCAAAATGTAAATAAAACCGCCGAAAAACGCATTCAATTATTGCGACCGAACCAGCTTTGATGCGTGCTCATATGTGTCTGTATGCGTATGTGTGTGAGGCGTCCGCGCGCGCGTGTGAATACATTTTTCGCGAATTGTAATCGGAACATTAAACGAATGAGGTAATCTTTTGATTCGGAAGTTTCATTTGTTCTATCTTTTCGCTTGATTCGCCTGAAAATGAGCTAATTTGGAATTGGCCACAAGACATTGAACAAACGTATAGCTAACATAATTGATTTTATTTGCATAAACCGGTCGTTAAAAAATGTTGGAATTTCACGCGATAAAGTGACAGAGAGAACTTTTCTGAGAACAAAGAGACCCAATTCGATTGGATTATACAAAAAATCAAATTTGGTTATTTGCAGAAAGAGAAACGTGACATTCAGTTTCTGATTGATACGAAAAAAATAATTACAAAGTCCGAAGCCTCTTCAGTAATACCAACAACAACTCGAAAGTCACTTCATTACAGCAAGAAAAAAAAAACAATGAAATAATCTGATAACGATGATATCAGTTTTGAGAAAAACAAAATCTGTGTCATACGTAGAATATTTGGAGAACCTTCGAAGGTCGTCATGAAATAAGGGACTGTGTGTCTGGAATGTAAGTGTGTGTGTGTGTGTGTGATTTACATAAATTCCGAAAAATTATTTCCAACATATTCGATTAGGTATTAGATAACCTACCTCGAAATCGACGGGAAAACGTTTTTTTTTTCATTCAGTTCCATTTATGGGTAGAATATTGTTACGGGAAAAAAATAATATTAGTGAACCTGTTTGTTATTGCTAACAACTGTTTGTAGCTCATTTTGATGGTGATAGCAGCCAGCTTATGCATAATAATATTCTATGAATGTTCATCAAAAAATCATCCAAACTTTCTTGTTCGTCAGTGTACGATAATTTCCATAATGTTTGATGAGCATTATGCTTTATTTGTATCAAATGTTCATTTATATTATTCTGGGTAACTGATAACACAGAAAAAAAAGGTTTCACATGAGGTATAAACTATGCAAATAGCTATTCGGTTTTTGTTTTTCAAATACGTTGTGTGCGTGTGGCACAGCGAGGGAGAAAGATTTATGTGACAGTTATGTTGGCGACACGGAAATCGAATCAAAATAGTAGAAAAGAAAATAGGAAGCGTATTCGATCAAAGAGAAAACGGCAAAATTTTGATAGAAAAAAATGATTTTCATTTTGATAGAATAAAGAAAAACGAAGAAGAAAAAAAAAATTCGTTGAACAATTTGAAAATTATGTCAAAATTTGCGTATAAAAATATGACAACCTTCAAACAAAACAACGTATTGTGCCCACCGGCTTGAAGTCCAAGCCGTGTGCGCGCTCGCTCGCTCATCGACACTCGGTGGTGAATCGATGCTGTGTGTGTATGTTTCTTTTTCATTGTGTTCGCATGTGCTTGGCAAATGAACGAAAGCACCATACGGAATCGCAACAGAAAAAAAAACATTTAACACGCATAAAAAGCCACCACACAAAGCCAAAGCACTGTGAGTGGAAGAAAGAGAAGTGAATGCGGCATTAAAAACCACTGAAAAAGGTTTATTGATATATTGTCAATTGGTTTTGCTTCTTGTGAAACAAAAGAGCCGAATGAAAAAAAAACGATGATATCATCGTTACTCATAGCGTACATAGATGAATAAAAAAAAGAACAGAACCGAAAACCAACCAAGAATACACACACAGACACAGCAACACGACGAAAAATAAACGAATCAGAATTAATAAACACACAGCAATAACAATAATGCCCATGTGCATGTGGTGTCATGAGACGCAACATTCAATACACCACATTTTCAATAAATGAAAACGCACACATTTGGTGCCACAATATGATTTCTATTTTTGAAGGGACGACGCACACACGAGTGAGTGTAAAATAGGAGAAGAAAATGAAATCAATTAGGAGAGGCTTTTCCAAAAAGCCATATTTTCCAATTGCGGTGCATTTTCGTTGCCGTTCGAACAGATGGATGCCGATGTTAAAAGTAAAAGCGCATGAATTTCAGCCGCCAAATTCAATTCCAATTGGAATTCCAGTTAAATGGATTAAAATTGTTAAAAATATCCTTACGCTTGTCTCAAATCATCATTTTCTTCGCTCAAACGCTTGACGTTGATCTCCAATTTGGCCTTATCGCGAGATGTTTCATCCAACACTTTCCGGGCATCGGCCAATTCACTTTCGTACATCTGAAAATCAATGCCGATTAGTCATCTCAATTCAATCGAAACAGCAAAAAAAGAAGAAACAGAGCCGACATAAAACGAAACAACAACAACAACAAAAATAAATACCGATTTGATGTTAGACGATTCACGGGTGACTGTTTCACGAACAGTTTTCACTTCAACCACGAGTCGATTGTTTTCTGCTTCCAAGAATCGAACACGATCAATATAACCAGCCAATCGATCGTTCAACCCTTGTAGCTCCAATTTTTCGGCCACACGCGAATGACGTGTTGGACTTTGGGTGCGATGCCGAGCTTGTGGTGTTGATGCTGCATCTGGTGCAGTTTGCGATAATGTACTATCTGATGCTCTGGTACGTGTTGCCATTGTTTTGTTATTTTTTGGTTTTCCCTTAACACGAAAACAGTCAACTTTTTTTTAAAGTCTTCGAAAACAATTTTTTTTCCCTTGGAAAAAACCCTTTTTTTCGCTTGACAAATGTTCTTCTTCTGATTCCAACCGAATGAATTTTTGATTCAAAAATAAAATTGACACTTTTTAAATGAAATTAAAATTGTTTCTTCAAAAAAGATTTTAAAAAAATACAAACAGCACTATATTTATCCGGAACCAAATCAGTTTGCCGACGATAGAGAGAAAAAAACACGGAATTCAAGACGATATTTTTACAAATGCCAAACGTTAACTAACGAAACTTTTCCAAATTCAATTCGTATCAACCATCAACAGCGGCAACAGCACACACTGACGAACGAACGAGCGAGCGAACGGACGAAGCGGTAACGGCATTTCTCGGTAGAGAAGCGACGAACAAGCGAGACAACAACGAGAATGAATGAGTGAGCGAGCGAGTGTGCTATATACACATAGCACACAACACTTGGGGATTATACCAATTCATACAGTGAAATTGACTTTTGAATTCTTGTGCGTTCGAAGTAGCCGCAGCAGCGAGTTTCGTTGTTGTTGTTGTTGTTGTCACCTCAACTGCCGCTATTTTCGTTTGTATTGGATCTATTCACGCAACGAAAAGAAATTCATCTATTCCCAACAGCATTCAACGATTCATCGAAAAGACCGTGATGTATATACACAAACAAATGCGCATCCAATAGTCGGTGCGGTCTCGACTTGTATTTGAATATGAAAAAGAAAACACGTCGCACAGCTAAGCTAAAGCCATTCCATCATACACACTCATATTTCAAACTTTCTTATACTTTCAACGGGCTGAGCAACCGAAACGAAAGACGTAAAACATGTAAATGTGTTCTTAATGAGCAATATTAATGCCGTGTGGATATATACGAAATATGTATATCATTGTACTTTGAATGATACAGCGAACAGAGAACGACACAGACAACGACAAGTCGCTAAAAATATTGGTTTACGTCATTGATACCATACGCTTCGATTAGCATTGCTACATATTATGTCATCATAGCTAGTTCTGGTTCTTTTATGAGACGATATCGTCGACGAAGCTATCCACAATGGCCAAATATTAGCTTTAGCTCGATGTTCGCCGAAATGTTACTTCGGCATTCTCTGTGAGTGTGTATATCGGGACAACAATATCGAGCCGGTTCTTTCTTTTTCTCAATGGGGCTCGCGACTCACACACCAACGCAATCAGATGATGATAAAAACAAATATTTGAATACCACTTAGAATTGTTAGTTGCTTTTCGAATGAGTTTTTTTTTTCGTTTGGGTTTGTTATCGCTGGTCGTGGTGCGTTGTAACACACCAAAGTCAATTCACGATTGCTGGCTGTTTTGATATGTGAATGTGTTTGCTGCATGCAATTCAACGTCATAATTCACTGGAATTTTGCTGCTGGACTCATTCGTTTTTTGGTTCTTGTAAAATTTTTCTTCAAGAATTTCTCATACGGCACACGCACACACATCGATCTATTTATAGCGCAGTCGAACCGGCCTAAGGGTAGTCGTTACCCAATTCGTTCCGAAGGGGATCGCGATGATTTCATTTTTGGTTGTTTGCTTGTAAGTTCTCTTGCCTTTGCTTCTATTTTCCGATGATGACGCCAGATTTTTATGAATTTTTTCCCTTCATTTCGGCTCATTTCGTGTGTTCGCGACTCAGTTCACACAACGCACATATGTTTGTTATTCAAAACGTGTTTTTAACACAGCCAAGCTATAGAATGCGGCAGAAAACGACGAAAAATGAGAGAATCCAACGACAAAAAAATAAACACATACAACAACGACGACGACTACGACGGCTATAATTTTAAATATAAATATGCTGTGAATATGCAGGGAACTCACGCATTACGTAATAAATGCGTACAATGTGCTGTGTGTGTGTGTGCGCTCTTTGATCAATGGGATAGATGGTTGTACGGTCACAGGTAGGCCGAATCGGATATGATTATCTCATTCATTCATGCTCATAAATCACCGATGTTAAGGGCACCAACATCCAAACCTTATACAGCCGACACAATCATCCAATATACTTACGTAGTACATAAATGCGATTAAACTTGAAATATACGCGAGCTGATTCCACTGAACTTAAGCGCTTCGTTGAATTAATGTGTACGTTCTGTAGTTTCACTCCATTGAACGGTGCCACCACCCCATCAAAACAATCAACATTTCAATTAAATAAGCCACACGGTCATTTTCAAACATTTTAATTGTCATAATTTTATTTAATTGTTTTGCACGATAAATCGTGTATTGTCTTCATTTCCAATAAACATTAAGTTTTGGACCATCCATTTCGGGACATCCATAACACGGTTGTTTAATCAATAGGTTCTTCTTTTTCTTTCTGTTGGTTTTTGCTGCTGCTGTTGTTCTTTCTTAAGTACAAGCAATTTATTGTTTTTTTTTTCTCTCAATAAAATTTAATATGAGTTCAAATCGATGAATTTGGGCAAATCAACTCCGAAATTAATTCAATCACCCGGATCATCTCGAAACTGATTCATTTAAATTTGGAATTCGATTTTATTTTAGTTTTGGATTTCATTTTCATTTCAAATTTTTTGAATTCCAATCGATTCAAAATTTAATTGATTAAAAATCTTCTTGAGAAATCTTCAAAAGACCAAATTTTCTGGAAATTGGAAGCTAAAAATTCTTGATCAATATTATTTGAGAAGGTGATTTTGTTTTGTTCAGTTTTTCCCATTTCTTTTGACATCATTTTTGGAAGAAAATCCTCGGAAAAGCCATTAATTATTTCCTCATCATTTAAAATGTGTCCTTCGATTTTTTTTCCTTTCAATTTTTCTTTTCTTTTCCAATTTTGTTTTCTTTCTGTGGAATTTCATTCTTTATTTCCAGCATTGTTGTTCGATCGATTTGCCCAAATTGACCGTTGACACGCACATTTTTTTTTTTGTTTTTCGTTCTCATCCACAATAAAATTTACTCCAAATACATGTTGTGTGTTAATTGATAAAGTTGATGTGTGTGTGTGTGAGTTTTGGATGTGTCTTGTGTTTATATTGGTGCTTCTAGTAAAAAAAAAAATACTCATACACACAATAGTTAGTACACAGGACAAATTGCCAACAAAAATTTGTGGATAGTCAAAAATGCGGCACCGGAACATCGCTATCATGAACACGAGTCCATTTCTAATGTGTCCACCATTCATTTCCATTGATAACACACATTCAACACAACACGTTCTTTTTTTAAATAGTGTTTTCAATTTATATATACTTATTTTTACTTCAAATAGCCTACACCGCCGGCGCCGTTCATTGCCTGAATTATCAGTTTAGAATTTGCAAATAAATTGTGTGTGTTGTGTTTTGAAACGAGCGACCGGAGCGAGTGACCGAGATGGAACTATATACGAATAAGTGATAACATGGATTTTGAAATATGCTAATGTTCAACAACTACATGCTACAGCCAACAAATGTTTCACTAGTGAAAATACATGAAAACATTTTTTTTCATCCTCTACATAGTTTTGCTTACTTCGGGGGAGACGGTGCTAAGGTGCAACAGTGAACGGAAATATGTAATAAATAAACGTTAAGATTTGTTGCTCGTTAGCAGAAAAAAAAGACGGCTTCTCACAACTGATTTCAAAAATGAATGAGAACAAGAGGGATAATGAGATGAAAAAGAAAGAAAATGAGACAGAAAAGAAAGGAAATTTCGGGCAATTTTCTCATGCATCAGATACAAAACTTCGATCATAACAATATTTTTGGTTATAAATTCACATGTTTTTCGGTGTTTTTTTGTTTTTTAAATAATACTAAATTCATACAGATTGCGAATCAACTATTCAGTCCTTATTTAGCTGTCGAATATGTCATCGAACGATCGATCGATCTGTGATCTTTTCTATGAAGATCCAATAGTATTAGCGAGAACAATGGACAATTTCACACTTTCACTTTGGTTTTCTTTTCCAGTACATTCCAAATCAATTCATCGGTTTCATGGTTGGACGAAAAAAAACGGAAGTAGAACTAAAAAATGATAAGTCCAATTCGATTAAAGTTTGATGTTAGGAACAATATCACTTCAATAGGATATGCTTTTTTCTTCGGAGATACACGTTAATTGATTAGTCTATTTATTTGTGCTTAACATCAAATAAGGTCAAGAAAAGAAAAAAAGTTCGTTTATAATTGTTTTCATTGGCAATACATTGGCATTGCCGCTGAAGATGAACACGTATGTATGGGCTTCTCGTTAAAATTTCGAACGAACAAACAAAAAAAATATACCGAAAATGAAGCGTCGTCGAAATCAATGCACTAAATCTACTTGGTTCAATTTCCATTTGATATATATCGATTAGAATACAGTGAGAGATAGAGTTTTAAGTGAGTCGATTTTGGGTGTATGCGTATGGGTGTGGGTGTATTGTCCAATGGTCGTCAATATACATATATATATATATATATATTCTTTTTAAATTTAATTACATAATCAATCTTTAATCATTTCAATGACGTTGCCGCTCACAACTCAGGCAACACAATAACATAGATCTTTTGCACAGTTTTTCTTCAATAAATTAAATCATTTATCATTTTATACGGGTTTTCAATACTCTTGTTTTGTTTTGTATTAGCAAATTTTCTCTTTACCATACGTCAATTATTCAATGTTATACACAGTTTTCGCTCTATACAGAAACAGAAAAAAATAATAATCACAAATGCACATGGTAAAGATTTCAAGCGTTTCTATATCTGAAATAGTATTTTTTATCGCTTTTTTTGTTTGCGTTGTCAACACATTTAAATATTGATTAAGTAAATTGATTTTTTTTTCTGTTTATTATTAAGTTGTTTTCTTTTAGTTTTAATTGGTTTTTGAAATCAATTTTGTTGTTAGTTAGAAGATCGAAGTGTGGACCGAGCGTTTACTCGCTCATGTACGGATAGGTTACGTCTCGCAAAGGTACGAAAGTCTCCTTGACTGACTGTGGTGATGACCATCGCAAACAGTAGTGAGGACCACCAGCCTTATCATTTGTTCCTGTAAGAAACAGAAAATCGGTTTAGTCTGATGGATTTAAATGATTTATTAGTTTTTGGTAAAAATAGTTCAAAAACGGTAGTCGAGGGACAAAAGTCTAGCAATGCGTTAATATAATAGAAAAGAAATCTGAAGATTTGTATACGAAAAGTTTTTGCCAAAAACCAATATGGCTTGCGAGACGATGAAAATATTGGATTGGAGCCAAAGTAGAAGATTCCTTTGATTTTTCGACACTCGAAACCAACTATTTAACTCGTGCATTTCAATTTGAAAATAAAAATTATTTACTTTTTATTAATTTCAAATGGGAATATTCATGCTCAACCTTGGACAATTCTCTCATTTCCTGAATATTGTGCCGTTTCACTTTTCATTCCGCACTTTTCGTTCTTAAGTTTTCATTTCGATTTTCGTCTCTCAACCGGCTTTTTGATCCAATTTGACTCGATCTAAGTCGATTCAATCTGATTGGATTAACGGAATACAAATTACCTGAATGACGACCACCACCAAATGGTTGTTGACCAACAACTGATCCAGTTGATTTATCATTAATGTAGAAATTGCCAGCAGTCATTTTCAATTCTTCAGTTGCTTCTCTCAAGAATGCTCTGAAATACACGTTTCCAACCCGTTAAAATTGTTGAATTTCAATTGATTTGATTTCAAACTCAAAACATGTTCTCAAAATTGTATTTCAAAAATTTCACGAACAAGAAATTTTCAAAACAAAAAATCTTTTTCAAATCCACTTACTCATCTTGTCCAAAAATGGCTCCAGTCAATGCGAATTTCGTGCTCGTTCCAATGAGTTCTGGTATTTGTTTCACATCCTTATCTTTGTACACATAAATGGATAAAACAGGGCCGAAAATTTCTTCCGTCATAATTTTATCATGTGGATCTTTGGATTGAACGATAGTTGGTTGAACAAAGTAGCCTTTGCTATCGTCATATGTGCCGCCGCCAAGAATTTCCAAATTCGAACTATTGCGTGCATGATCGATGTAGGATTTGATGCGTGCGAATGCTTTGTCATCGATTACAGCCGATGTAAACGATGAGAAATCGTTGACATCACCAATTTTCAGGCTATCACGTAATTGCAACAATTTTGGTTTGATCTGAAAGTAAAGGTGAATAATTGGGGAGAAAATGGTTATTTTCATTTTCACTTCAAAATAACAGTCAATGTTCGAACCAAACGTATCTGATTGGAAATGGAATTGAGCTCAAAATTTAAAATCAAATTGAAAATCGAAAACAAGAAACAATTTCCTTAAATAAATTGAAAAGTGATTCACGTACAGTGGGCCATAGAGATTCTGGCATATAGGCTCGTGAGCATGCCGAACACTTTTGGCCACAGTATTCGAATGCCGAGCGAATGGTAGCCGTTGCCACCGTATCAACGTCAGCAGATGGATGAACAAAGTGATAGTTTTTACCGCCACATTCACCGATCAAACGAGGGAAGTTTACATATTGTGTCACATTTTCGCCCACTTGACGCCACAAACGTGCGAACGTTCTGCGGGAAACAATTTTTAATCGATTAGTTTTTCTTGCACCATTTCTCAATTTTGTGCGTGAAATAACGTTTTCTTACGGTACTGATCCGGTGAAATTGATGCCGGCCAAATGTGGTGAAGCGGTGATTGTGTCGCCAAATACGGGACCATCGGCAGGAATGAAATTGACTACACCCGCTGGAACACCGGCCTCTCGCATAATCTTGAATATTACCCAGTTCGACAGGATGGCTGTGTCAGATGGCTTCCATAGAACTGAATTACCCTGTAAATTGAAAGTCCATTGAATGTGTTTAAGATTTGGTTCTGTTTTTTTTTTCCTTTTAAAATCCAAATTCATACCATCAGTGCTGGTGTATACGCCAAATTGCCGCCGATAGCCGTAAAATTGAATGGGCTCACAGCGGCGATGAAACCGTCAATACCACGATAGCGAAGTGAATTTTTGGTAACACTTGCATCTTCGCTGATCGGTTGATACTTTAAATTGTCTTTCAAATAAGCGGTGTTCATGCGAATAAAATCGATAAGTTCGGCCGATGAGTCAATTTCCGCTTGGATGGCAGTTTTCGATTGGCCAAGCATAGTGGCAGCATTCAATTGTTGACGATATTCACCGGCCATCAAATCGGCGGCCCGATTCCAAATCTTGATACGCTCATCAAACGGTACCCGATCCCATTTCTTTTGTGCTTCAACCGCCACTTTGATGGCTTTCTGAATGAGCGGCTGATCAGCATAGTAGAATGCGGCAATATTTTTCGAATGATCATGCGGCATCACTTGGCATCGTACTTGATTTGTGCGAAACTCTTCATTTCCAATGACAATTGGAATATCCTCACATGTGCTGGCCGTTTGCTTGAGCTGTTGCTCCAATTGCTTCCGCTCTGTGGAGCCCTTGCGATAGGTCAGCACGGGTTCATTGTACAGTTTAATTTCCGGTACACTCGGTAGCTGTATCACCGATTTCACCGACCATACCTTCGACGTGGATAAACAACGCGCCGAATTCTTGACAACATATCTGTTTATTTTTAGCAAAGCAAAATTGAAGAGATAAACAAACAAACCGAGAAAAAAAAACACTCAAATTATTAAATGATTCGCACAATCGGTTCATAAACATCAGATATTTTTTTTAGCACGATGATTATCTTATCGGCCCGGTTTGTTTTTTTGTATTTTATTTTCGCTTATAACGCACATCTAATCCAAACAAAATGCAATAATTCATAATAACACACTAAAAATGAACAATCGAAAGAGAGAGATATAGAAAAAATTTACGTTCCTGACTTTCTATTACAATGTTCAAATGGCTTCAAAGCGGATTTGCAAACCACAATACAGCACAATACACGGTGCGGCAAGCCGAGTCATGCATATTCTGAAGGTTAATTTGGGCAATTTTTAGAGAATAAGACAAATTTAGAATCGTTTCACGCGAGAGCAGCTACGAAAAACAGCTGGCACTTTTCTTGCTCGACATACATAGTATCACAAAATGGAAATTGAGCACTAAAATGTACACAACATTTGTGCATAAAATATTTTGATTCAAAAAACCACCCGAAAAAAGATTTTTTTTTACTTATATAACGCATGGACTCATTTGATTATGATTCGACAACTGCTTAAATCACCAGAAAAAAAGCACAGTTTTGAATCAAAAATTTTGATAAAGAGTCGCACAGACGAACGGTGAGTTTTTTTCTGCTGTTTGATGTTTATTTCAAATGTTATTCGGGCATTTCCGTTGTAATTTGAGAATGCGATAAAGAAAAAAGCAAAAAAGAATGAAAAATTGACGAATTACGCTTTCAGTGGAAAATAGTCGAGGGTCAGATGATTTGCACTGAAACGCAAATCATTCACACAAACAATAAATCATTTTGTTTTTTTTTCCTCTTCTTCCTCTCTCTTTCTCTCTATCTCTCTCTCTGTTTTTTCTCTTTTCCTCTCTCTCTCTTTCGAATCGAACATAAAAAAGCAAGAGTTTGAATTAGATAATCGCGTGCAATGGTTTTGACCGAACTGAATCGGATCACATGCAAAATATTGGCGATATTTTCGAAAATTCTCTTATGAATTACCTAAAACAATTGGCTGGTAGTGTCGTTTGTCTGGCTAAGAATGACATGATTTTCTTGTTTGTGCTGTTGTTTCACCAGACGCTGTTAATTCGCCACACGAGTCTATCGAATGGGTAATATTTACTCCGTCGTTTCCAATTAGAACGTTGTCCAAATGATCTAATTCCAATTTGTGTGTACGTTTGTCCACTCGCTGTGGTTCTCCTTCGGTTTCAAAAACAAGTGTGCTTGTGTGTGTATGACTGTGAATAGAAACAACACACAAAATTATAGCAAAACTAGTCTTTAGATCTCGATTCACGCAAATGATTCTATTTTCTATGTTTTGTTCGATGGCTGTCTTTAAGATACACGCACGCTTAATTTTATTTGGAAAAATTTCCAACGGCTGACAGCAGTAGCAGCAGCAGCAGCACAAACACCCGCACCTTATAACTTAAACACGGGTTTGTTATTGTTCTTGAAATTGATTGTTGATTTAATGGTAAATTTGTATTGTCCCGTGGCTTAAGAGAGATAGAGAGAGAGAGAATTGATGTGAAATGTTGTTTCGTGACGCGTAATAATCGCTTCACTTGAGTTCGACTGAATGGCAGGAGAAAAACTGTGTAGTGCCGATTAGAGTAAAATGAAGCAAACCAACAACGACGACGACACGAGAAAAAACAGCAACAACAACACAAAAAAATGGCAAGAGAAGAGCAAACAAAAATATAACTAAAGTGCAAAACAATACATGAGAGAGAACGGAGAGAATGAAAGTAAGCAAGCGAAAGAAAAAAAAAATAGAGAAGAATTGGCGCAATAATGTATATCTTTTGTTGCTGTCAGAGAAGCTATTGCGGTGCGCGCGATACGAACATAACACTGAACAACCGAAACAGAAAAAACGCAGCAACAACAACACACAAATCTAGGTGTAATCGTAGTTCACTCTTGGCTGTAAATTCATATAATTTTATTAGATGTTGGTATTTTTCGTTTCATTTATGAGGATCGGCGGCGGTTTTTATTCGCCGAATCAATAGATTGTCGTCAAGCCAAAATCAATTGACGGATGGGGCGCATTATAAAATCAATGCTTCCGTGTTCTGTTTGTTACTTGTTCTCTTTTTTTTTTACTTTCGTGGTACGTTCTTTTGACAATCAACCGATAAATGGAATTTTTCGTTCAATTCACTGTGATAAAATTATCGTTTGTTATTGTTTTGGCTATTGGCGGATTTATGGCTGGCAAATGACACGAATCACCGATGAAACAAAATCTATTTGCCATTCAGTCATCACACAGAATTTTTGCACGCACAAATGATGGACGTTTTTTTTTTCCATCGCACAATTTGACGTACGTGTTTATTTACCTAATTTGCGTACTGTTTCCTCGTTGATTTTACCCACAAATCACTGAAAATTTAGCCGAGATACGAGAACAACTGAAAAAACTTTCATTCAATTTCGATACACGGCTCTCTTTTTTTCACTGTGTCGTCGCTTTTTTTTCTTCTTCTTTCTATATATTTTTTTATTGGTGGTAATGTAACTCGTCGTTCGATATCGAATAAGAGAGAGAGAAGAAAAATAATATATCTAAAAAACGAATGTGATGTGTATGCGTGTTCAACTATGCCACACCGTATGCGTGTGCCAAAGCACATGCAATTGTATGTGTCTCTCTCTGTGTGTGTGTTTCGATTTTCGGTATCGAGTATGAAAATTTAGAGTGAGATAGTTGGCTGGTTTGATATGCTCACACGTTCACTTGCATAAGCTACTATGGGCCCCCCTGTTTATATGATGTGTATTACGTTGACAAATTCTGCGCTCGCGCAACCGTCGTGTGTCGGTTACAAGAACAAATCAGCTGAACCTTGAATTGGATTGAAATTCAAATGCAGAATTGGGACGAATACCATTCACACATCGATTCAAATGTAGGCAAAACTTACACCAGAAAAAAACAACGATCTTGTTCAATATTTAAAATTTCAAACTGACGAACACATGAGAATATGCCTCTTCTTACACACACTCATACAATCACACATTTTAACATATGTAAATTTAACCGCTGTTTCAACAGCTCTACATATGATTGGGTTTGAATAGCAACATTGTATTGATATTTTTCTGTCAGATCGAATCAATACACAGAACAAACCGTTGGACAACGATTTTTTCTTTTGTATTTACGAACTTCTTTCCACTTATGTTCATTACATAAACTGAGATTTTTTGATGCTTTTTTTTTACTTCTGTGTTCAAATCGGATTTTTTATATTCGCACAATGGCAGAATGTATTTTAAAAACTTTTTTTTGTTTGGATTATTATGACATTTTATTGAATTTCAAGGAAATAATTTTTATGAAGTTTTTAAATTAGCTAAAAATAGAGCTCTTTGGATTTGTTTTTTGTTTATAACCGACACTTTTTAAGCATAAATTTATGGAAATCTTTAATTACATTTTATCAATTACCAATAATTTTAAATTTAAAAAGTATAAAATGTTATCGATTATCAACAATTGAAAGAAAAACGGTTCTATTCATAAATTTTGCAATTTCAGTTCAGGTTATACATAGCGGTGGATTTGATTCGGGTCTTCATAAAGATAAGAAATCAATCAAAATTGAAAAGCCACATAAAAATGCCTAAAAAAAATGTGATAACAGTCAATTTATGGTCACATTTTGTCAAGGAGACCGTTTTTAATTCAACTTTGAGAATATTATTGGAGAATTGACAAAATTATTTTGATGAATCGAAATAAATACAAAAATATTTGCATATATAGATTTCAATTCCTTTGTTATAATGATAACGTAGGACCTAGGTAAAACTTTTCCGTAGTCAGTATTATAAATTATGAGTCCTGTTGACGCTAATTTTCATCTATTGTTCATTTTAGTTGATAAATATCAAAATAATTGTGTAATTCATGATGAATGATAAAAATGGCCGCGAATGCAAACAGATCGATATAAAAATGAGGTTGCAGTGTTGCGGTTCATTGTGCTACTCTGGTAGCATTTTGTAAAGCATATCACCACGAGACATGGCTGTAATTAATTACCCACTGATATTTGATGTTTGTAATACAAAATATACGGTTACCGGTACTTTATTTACACACGGGAGCTCGACAGCAAAACAAATGGCCCGAAGCTTAACAAAAGTCATTATTGACTTTGTGCATTAAGGCGGATATTTGATAATGATATGAATAGGTGCATTACACGATACAACATGGAATTTGTTTACCTCTGTTGCCGATAAGAACTGACTTCTGAATTACGATGAACTTCTACAGAATTCAAAATAATTCGGTTTTACATCGTTTTTCGCTGTGAAATAACTAAAAAATTATGCACCAATTCGTCAAGCTCCATTAGTTCTCCATATGGTGCTTAATTTTAGTTTTTTTTTTTTTTTCAAACTGGATCGAAACTTCTATTATGAGACATTCCTGAAATTCTTTTCCGCAAAATCATTCGAGGATATTGTCTTTCCCGACAATTGGCAATACGTTATCGAATCAATTGAATCCTTCTTCGAATGCATTGCCCGATTTTTGTCTTCTCTTCCTGTAAAAAAAATTATTCTAAAAAGTTGGAAAAACTCCGAAATCGATTGTGCAACTAATATAATTACTAGTAGATGTGTACAAATTATAGTGTGAGAGACTCAAAGTGAGTAGAACTCCAGAAATAAGTGCAAAAAAGAAAATCCGTTGAATTATAGTTTTGAAATGACATTTATTTCGTCAAAAGCGATACAATGAAGTTGTTTTCTCAGATTTGTATGGTTTGTTTTTTTTGTGTGTGTGTGATATTTTAACAACAAATGCTAAATAAAATGTTATACATTTTTTTTTCTCTCTTTTCCTTATTTTCTGTATCCAGGAACAAACGAAAAAGAAACAATCAACTTATGTGGGAATTTTATTTTGATTTCGAATCGACATCATTTTAAAAAAAAATACTAACAATAAAACGAACTAAATATTTGATATTGTTCGTGATGAATTTTCATTATATTGACAAAAATGATCAAACTAATTTTGTCTATGTGTAAATAAATTGAAATAAATTCTTGAAATGACAACATGTTTGTGTTTTCTTCGAATTATTTTGAGATTTTTTTTTTTTTTGTCTTCGCATACAATTGATGATTGCATCCGATGTGTTTTTGTTTAATTGCTTTTGGTTTGCGGTGTGTCGAACGCAATTCGAATATATACATTCGTGTCCATCAAATGAAATTAGACGTAGAAAAATCTAAAAAGTTAGGGTGTTTTCTTTTATAGTGTGACAAATGAGAGTTTGTCATTTAAATATTTGTTGTGTGTGTTTGTTTCGTATTTGTAGAATTTGGCGCATTTTCAGTCTTCCACATTTTATCGATTGTGATTTGAAATATTTGGGAGTCTCGGCGACATAAGCATATTGCACTCAAATTTTTTGGTATTTCTCGTATTTCTTCACATTTCGTATCATGCAATTTGCCCTTATTTCTGTTCTTTTTCATCTTCATTTAAAATTTTCTTTTGCTTTTACTTTTCATTTTTTACTCTTAAATTACTCCAATGACGCCGAATCATTCACATACTTCTTCGCCAAGTCTCTCCGCAATTCCTGATGATCATTCAACTCGATAAATTCGTCGTGTTAAATTAAAACAACCAGTGAAACGATTTGAAACAGAGATTTTGTTTGAATGAAAACCACGTTAATCGAAATGTGTGTCAATTTTTTTTTTAAGTAATTGTCGACTGGATTTAAGTCGATGAATGAGATTGTGTATTAAGATTGTCTGTAGTCGACTAATACAATCAGCCTTTGTGTATTTGAATTCTCTAAAATAAATAAAAATCACGTCAAAATGAATACCAAAAAACAAAAAGGTTGCAAAACACAGATTTGCCTAATGTCAAACATAGTTTAAAAAACACTAAGTAAGCTGTTTATTTTTTGTCTGCGTTGAAATCGAGTTAGTGGAAATACGATTTTGTATTTGTGGTTTCGATAAGAATATGCGCAAAATGTCAGTTTTAGAAGGAAGAAAGTAAGGAAGCTTATGATTAATTTTACTAGCGAAAGATGACTGAATATTTTGATACTATCCGCAATTTGAGACACATGGTTTTTTTTTGTTTGCTAACTGAAAACGCCAACGTGTGTGCAAAAACAATTTGCCTCAAATTCTTTTCCGGTGATTTCATCATTTAGCAATATGAGATCGAAGCATAATTATTTGCTATACAATTTCTTTTTAATTTTCCATTTTCATCTAAAATGTTTTTTTTTTATATTTTCGGTATAAACTGTCACTGAAGACAACTTGTGTCTTTGAAACTGGTTTTCCGTTGTGTTTAAAAAACAACAATTAACTCGGATTCGGTTGGTTTGTTTGGGGATGTTTAAAAATTTGCCATAAAAACTGGAATGATTTCGATGATGATGTCGCTTAAAATAGGTGCTAAAATTCGGCGCGGTCTGTCACATCTCACGAGCTGAGTTGAAAAATTCGACTTAAACCAAAAGGTATATGTGTGTGTGTATGTGTGTTGACAGGTTATTGCATCGTTATTTTCTTCTCTTTTTTTTTTAATTCAAACAATTCGACAATTCTAAAAACAAATCGAATTTTGGAAGATTTCATGTTGATTTTTTTCTCTCGATCTGTTGCAGGGGTAATATATGCCATTCAAAACGTGTCGAATCACAAGACTCATTTGCAAGGGCACAGGACAATTCACAGTGTGATTTTCAGCACATGGATTCCATAGAATATTTTCCCATAGGATGAAATCCTATGGGGTTGCTACGAGACCAACTCCTATCAGATGGAACCATGTGATGATAATCGTATCAAAGTGCCAAAACACACTTCTTGTGCCTGTCTTGGATGGGCAACGTGACTTTAGGTGCGGATCAAGGGCCCAGCACTATTAATTGGACACGATTTCTGCTTTCGCTTCATTTATCCATTGTTCGGTTGTCGGTTTTTGTTTTACTGCTGATTAATAAATATTATTCAATAAATACTCATGTTAATAACATTCAAATAGATAGTATTTTCTCTTTCATTTTCTCTCTTCACATTTTTTCCTCTTCCATTTATGTTCCACCATTCGTGTATATATATCAATTTTTGTTTTGTTCTGTCCATTATGATTGAATACATATAGATTTGTTTCCATTCGTTTATTATCAATTTTATTTTCTTTCTCTTTATTCTTCTTCTTTTGCTTAAAAACTAAATAGAGACTTCTCTTTCTTAATTTGTTTAAATAGTTCGTTTATAGTTCTTTTTAAGCTAATAATAATAGAATCTTGCTTCATCTCCGTCATTATTCTCATCATTTTTCTTCGTATGATCCGCTTATCCGTGTAAAGTGTTGTGTGTTGCTTCACAATTTCCCATTTGTAAAATGATCTGTTATTGTTTTTTTTTTTTAATTTGTGTATTTAAATTTTCGTCATTTAATTTGTATGTTTCGATTGATTTGATTTATCTACAACATATTAAATATCTGAACAATATATAATGTGTTTTTAGTGAGTGCATGGCGATATATATATATATATATATATATCTTTTAAATGCGTGAATATAATTTGTTGTTTCGTTTGTTTTTTTTTTTATCTTTTCATATATTCGATCAAATCTAATCTTTCATAATTGTGTGGTTGGTGTATGTGGAATTGTTTTTCTGCAGCTAAAATATCGCAAAAGTGATAAGCAAAATGAAAATATGTATTTGCAATCAAAAAATACGTCGAAATACGAAACCCTTTTCTTTGGCATGGTTTGTTTTTTTCTGCTGAAACCAAAGCGACGATTAAAAATGAATTTTTACCAAAATGACGAGTATAACAATGAGCGTTCAACACTTGTTGAGATTCAAATGGAAAACAGGAATTGATGGTAAATTAAAAAAAAAGAGAATTAAAATTAGTCGGTGTGAGTGTATGTACATCGTTTGGCTTGGCCAAAATGGAAAGAAATCGAATGATCAACTAAAACATTTGAAGATGAGAACGCCTATCAAAATTTTGAATACCCACTTCGTTCCCACGACTTTTTCTCACGTCTCTTCTGTTTTTTTCTCTTTTGACTAAAAACTAGCAACAACGAATCTTATTTAACAATTAAAGAATAAAAACAAAGGGAAAAAAACGATCACTTAATATTTAAAAAAATTTTTTTTTTTTTAAAAATCATAATGCAATCTATGGGGATTTGGCCGACGAAAATCTCTTTTAGAGATTTCTCGACCATTTTAATGGTCTCGGGCGCATTTTAACGGTAATTTTGATTTAAATTTTAGCTTCATACTCATAATGGTCCTTATGTCCAAGCTATACACAAATTATTCAATTTCATTCACATTGTTGTTTAGTTGCATTCGTAAAATTTATCTTCACGTTTTAAATACTTAATATTTACCTTCTCTGCGCGCGCGCGCGCACGCACGCACGCTCTCTTTTTCTGTCTCTGTCTATCGTACAACTTAATCTGTATTCACTAGGTAAAGGTCAATCACTGTGTGTTGCATTTTGAAATGTATGAGTTTTCTTTTCTTATTTACGATTAAAAACAGCTCGATATCATTCAGCTTTCACAACTCCGATCCCTCAACAGATCAATTCGCAGCCGGATTTTTTTTCTTCAAAGGTCAAGAATCCAGATTTCTTCAAATTTTCCTGTTAATTTAATCGGTTCTTCAAATTTTTTCTTTCAATTCGATGCCAGTCAATTTGGATACTTCCGATTTGAATTCAGATCCGTCAATTTTTCCAACTTGACTCCAATTTCTTCTTCGATGACGACATGAAGACACAAAATGATTTCAAAATGTCCAAAATGCCCATCTTTTTGAATACGGAGAAGTTTTCCTCCAGCTGCGAGTTTTGTATCCATTGAGAATTTCCATTCTATAAATTACGGTATACATAAGCACTAAAACAAAACCGAACTGATGATGCACTGCGTGAATGCTTCTGCTGCTGATATTGACTCGAATAAATTATTATTTGAACAAAAACAAAACGTTGCCTTTTTCTATTTCACGCATAGTTTACATGTCATCCGTTTCGTATAAAGCTATGAATGTTTCTTCAATTCATTTTGTATTTCATCTATGATTAAATAGTTGGTCGAAATTATTCGAAATTGAATAGAGTTTGTTAAACACAATCGAAACCATGCAAAACACCCGCCCAACGAATATTTTTTTTTATTTCAGATCAGCAATTTGAGTCAGTTTCAACTTTCCTTTTTTTCGATGGTGGGGCTTTTGCATCGTTTCAATCATTCGTTTTCAATCATCATTCACCGCTTGCTGCCTCCCATCCATATCTCTCTTCATGCGTCGTAACTAATACAACAATTTCAACTTACGCACAAAAGACAAGAAACAATTCATTTGACTAATTATTTTACTCTGTTGAGTCTATGACTTTTCTTCCCATTTAGTTTAATGATAATGTGTTTGTTTGTGGTTTTTTTTTCTCTTTTGATTTGATTAAAAAGTCTAGTTTAGATCTACGGTTAGATGTTTCGGTCGCATATGTGTGTGTTTAAGGTTTCACAAGTGAATTGCTACTGTTCACCGGACTTCGAATCGGTGTGGTTGGCGTTGATTTTCTAAGCGCTATCTGATAGGCCACTTCGAACGCTTGGCCCAATGTTAAAATGATTTCGGTGGCTAAATCCTGCGGAAGAATGAACATTTTTTTTTTCAGAGATTGAATTTGAATATTTTGCATTTTTCAATTTTGATGGTTCGAAATATTTACCATGCTAACGACATTAAACACATGACAGTAGTGTGTATTATTGTCAGAGTCCTTTGTGATGTACGCAAAATGTGACAAATCATCCGCATCCTGACATGCACAGTTTATATTCCGTATCTCGTGCTCACAAATTGTACCCTGCAAATGGTTTTTTTTTTCGGATTAGAATTCGTTTGATTTTTAATCGTTTCGATATTTTATAAGAATTATGGAGAGAAACAAAATTTTTCCACCGAAAAGATAATAAATAATAAAAAATGATAAAATTGTTTTTTTTTCTTCTTTGATTGGCGGTCATAACGCCTCCGACGGACAGCATACTCTAATGTGATAGACACAGAAGCATGTTGTCCATCCGGGGCGTTATGACCGCTACTCGTTTTTTTTTTTAAGTTGGTATCCGGTTGGTTTAATTTGGTTGATATCCGAATATCCATCAAAGATCTTTTGTTTACCTGAGTCTGTGGATCAACAAATTGAACGCCACGATATGAAATCAAAATGAAAACAGCTCGTTTGGTATTGTGATGTGTTTTGCCTGGGAATCCGATTGAATTGTCGATCGGATTCACTCCCATGATTTTTTCGTTCTTCTTCAGCTTTTGAATCGATTTTTTGGTCGATTCCGTGCCACGTAACTCTTTTATCACCGTTGATCCAAGGTACTGAGAATATCAAGAAGAGAAATGCATTTTTATGATAAAAGATTATATGATAATTTGAAAAATTTGGAAAAATAATATTTTACAGAGGAAATGAATCGATTTCACCGACGAAATGATGAAATAAAAACGACAGTGTTTATGTTCCATTTTTGTGATAGTTTTCAAAAATTTCAAAACCCAAAGGAGAAACAGTTTGAAATTAAAAAAAAAAATAATTTAAATCGTTCCTTACATTCACTTCATATTTTACGGCGCTAGCGATAAGAACCTCAGCCGAGTGTCGCCACTGTTGACGTAGTCCGGTTGGGAAGCCCAACAGCAATTCGGAGGGTGCTCGAATTTCAAGATTTGATGTTGTTTCAACCAAATTATTGAGATTATTTTCGTCAACGGATTTTGGTTGTTGCGTCGGTGGTTTTGGTGCTTGACGATTTTTCCGGTGGTTTGGTCGATTCTCAACAACACCTTCTTTGCTGTCATGCGACGATATCGACAGCGACGATCGTTGGGAGGAGCTCGTCTTATTCGCTACATCCTGCAAACACAAAATAATGGGTTAGGTTTTCGTTTGATACGAAAACAAGAATTCTTTCCACAAAAATCGTTTTTTTTTCCACAAAAATTTGATTCATGCCAAATGATAGTGAGAAAGAAAAAAGGGTTTTTGTTTTGAAAAAATTCAAAACACTTACATTCGTCGATTTGGTGAGTTTTTCAAGTGATTTCTTGATATTTTTGGGTGGTGTGGCACCAACGGAATACAGTATTCGCTTTCGGTGTCCAGTTTTGTTGATTTCCAGCACCGCCTGAAGTTCGATTTCCCAAATGCGACTAATGCGCTCCATATCAGTGTACAAATGTTTTCTGCAATGCGAGAACAACAAAAAAAAAACCGATGACGTAATTGTTATTATATATCAAGAGAGTAAAAAGGGGGCGTTGAAAATAAGAAATTTCGATTGAAATTTGGAAATTTTCTATTTTCAATTGAGATTTGGAAATTTTCTATTTTCAATTGAGATTTGGACATTGAAAGCGACAAAAAAAAATGCAAAAGAAACCAAATAAGTGCATTAAAAATCCGAAATGTACCTAAAAACTTCTGCATATTGCATTAGCCGAATGCTAACGAGCCAATCATTGACGCTGAGTGTTCCATTGGCATCATCACTGTTCAATCCTTTCGCTTGCTTTGGAATTGTGCTGTAACTGTTATTGTTGTGATTCAAATTGATGCCGGAATCCGTTGAATTGGGTAGTTTATCGTGGTTTGTGTTCATCGAATGGTACGCAGTGGATTTATTATCGACGATCGCTTTATCGAATGAGGTGATGGCTCGTGCCGGTTTCTGTAGATCATTTTCAATAGCTGCCAATAGTTTTTTTCGTAGTTCAGGTTTAATATCCATCACTTCAAGATCACTATCGTCCAGAATGCCTTTGATAAAATCGATATCATCGTATCCATTGTCGTACAGAATATTGCTCAATTCGTCCAATTGGTTGTCGTACAGGAAGTTCATGAGTTGACCGTGCGGTGATTGTGATCCCGATCGTCGTTGCGCATTGCTATTCACCGATTCCGTGCTTTTCATCGCGTTGCGATGTCGATCAATTTCGGTACATGTAAACCCGGCTATGCTATTGCTACGCCCATTTTCACCACGATTCTGATAGTCTCGTCGTCGATTCGAATTGTTTATTGTGCTCGAATCTTGGAGGAGATCCGAATCAGTGCCAAAATTGGCCATAATTTCGGAAATCTTTTTCCATTCTTCTTGCTCATCGAACGGCACACTCTTATCACTGCTGCCGCTGCTAAGCTTCTGCGCTGAAACGATCGCATTTGGCACTGACAATCGTGAACTATCACTATTCCGTCCGCTTTTCTCCTCCGACCGCAATTCATCTTCGGACAATGGTGTTTTGGCTTGATTTGAACAATTCACCGGCGACGATGACAACGACGAATTGAACACATTGGATTTGAGTGCAGCATGTGATGTTGGTTGCGTGTCTAATGTTTTGGGCCGTTCGGGCCGATGATGATATTGTGTGATTGGCTTTGGCAAATTCTGATGAGATTGTAACGATGATCTTTGTGATTGCACTTCGGGTACTTGGTGTTGCCGTTTCGACGGTTGATTGTTGCTACGGGCACAAATGAATGAGACGAGAAAAAAACAAAATGGAAATGATTAGTTTTAATTGAATGAATACACCGTGATTAATTCAATTGATCATCGTAAATGAACGAATAAAAGCAATGGAATTTAATGAAATCGTTGCAATTGTCTAGCACTTACTTGGCTGGTGATCGATAGGATTTATTATATTGTTGTTGCTGTTGTTGTTCGGATGCCATCGATTGATAGTACTTGTAATCCGAATTGGAATTACCCGTGCCGTAAGTAATTAAATTCGGATTATCTAAAGTCATGGTCGATCCCTTGAATAAGCCTGCAGAAAAATCAAAATCAATTAGTCTCGCTCCTTTTAGCTTCTGTCACAAGATGAACGAACGAAAAAAAAAACCTCAACAACACACATTCACTTTCAATCCAATGCAATGAGAAAAACAGACAAATTGAACAGACACACAACTGCAATAAATTCGTTGAATTCATTTGTTTTGCCGTTTTTTTTCTTCTTCTTCTTCTTTCGTGTACAACCGAATGTGGCTCACATGAAAAACGCAACGAAAATAACCAGATATACACGCGTTAACAACAAAAATAAACAAAAAGCCAGCGAGAGAAACAAAACGGCAGCAAAAACGCCAAAAATGAAACAAAAACACAAACACACAGCTCCGAATAGCTCGCACAATTTTTGGTTCCGTCTTCGTTTCGCGTATGATTTATTTTTTTGTTGTGGCGACGAATTTTTGGCAATTGACCAACTTATTTACATCGGCCAAGAGATAAATTTGGTCATTTAAGGGGGTGGCTCTTCAGAGATATAAAATACAAGCGTGTATTGTTATTGCTTCGTTTTTCTGCTATTCACACACGAACACAAATATTTCGTTGTTTTTTTTTTCTTTCTTTTACTTTGTTTATTTTACCGTCGTCACACCGTCGATTGGATACGCATTTCAGGAATGCCTATAGACACAAGTCATTTACCAACAGCAGCATAAGCAAATTCAAAATGAGTTTTAACATGATGAAATTGAAATGAATGTGTGTACAAACACCCGAAAAAAACAACAACAAACCGAACGTTTAAATGAAAATGTAGCAGCAGCAACAGCAGAGCGTGAAGAGAGAAAGAAAAGAAAAAAACACCACTCGTGGTTTACTGACCTCGCCGTACTTCCTTTTCTCTGTGTTCAATCGTTGCGGATTATTCTCGACTACTCTCACTCTTCGGTACAGTGTGTCTCGTGCACGCATGCGATCCCTCCAATCACACATTCAACAATTCTATACATTTAACGCATAATTGCTCATTGTTTTATTGGCAATTTGCTGGTGAAGCGTAGTTAGCGCGATTTTTAGCGGCCACATCTCAATTACCCGTCGATAAGAATGTTTCACGAATCAACTCTCAATTAATATGCATTGAACGTTGTATCTAATTTAGTGTATGCATGCACAAACATTTCAACAAAAAAGCAGCAGAGAGACAGAGACTGAGACACACACTAAATGAAATGAACGAGCGCAATAAAAAAAAAACAAACACAACACTACAGATAGCAAAGAATGGATGTGCTTGTTGTTTCTGCTTCTGTTTCTGTTTCTTCTTCGGCTTTTTTTTATTCCGCAGGTCTGCTAGTTTACGCGTGGTTTTTTTTTACTTCTTATTTTGTCGTTCGTTCGAAATATCAGTTGTTTTGGTTTTAATATTCAGTTGATGTCTATGTTTCGATTTTGGTTTTGTGATCGTGTTGACAGATCAGAATGACAGAGGCACGCTTCGATATGATTGAGTGTGTTGGTGTGTGAGTGTGTTTGTGTGTACTTGTTTGTGAATGTGTTCGTTTTGTTTGCTTTTGGATTACGCATGTATTGGAATATGAATTGTTTGGATTTCAATCAACTTGCGCAAAGCGCATCTACTACGACCTTTTTGTGAGTGATAAATAGGCTCTCTTTTGAAACGTCATCTTTGTTCAGAAGGGAGAGAGAGAGAGAGAGAGAGAGAGAGAGAGAGAGAGAGAGAGCGAAAATGGCGAACTTTTTGAATATACATGAATATACAACTGAGCGACTGTGTGTTGTGGTGGTTAATGAAAATTTACATGACAATTACACAGATAAAACGAGTTTTAAATCAATCAAAATGTAAATCAACACATTCATTTATTCAACTTAAATTCGGGTTGAATTATGGGAATTAAATGTTGAATAACATCTAAATCATATATGAGAGTTAAGTTTCAAATTTACAACAAACCAAAAATACATGAAATGTAACACACCGAATAAAATGAAACAAATAAAAGCGAAATTTGGCAAAGAAATCCAATTTAAAGGTTTTGAATTTATCTAATGAATTTACCAGCAAACGGAACGTCTGTAACATATTCAACACAATCGGTCGATGCACTACGATCAGATGATGAACTAAGCGATCCACTAGATGCATTTAATGACATTATGACATCGGATGAGCATGGTGATAAACTACTGTCACGATTATTTGCGATTCGATGCCGTGATCGGCTTGAGCTTGAGTACATCTGCGGCGGTGGCACCACATTCTCCTGATACGATTGACGATGATGATGATGACGATTCGACATTTGTTTCATTGGCTGCGGTGCACTTTGACGTTTCTCACGCTTTTCACTATTCATTCTATTATTGGCGAGCAGACGCGGGATCAAAAAAAAAATATACAAACAAATTTATACTCGAATCGAAAGATCGATGGAGAGGAAATGGTTTTGTAGGGAAAAGGGGATTTTTCTTATTTGTTCTGGATGTATGTCCATTTGGTATAGTCCTTTTTATGCTATGTTCGATTTTCAGACTTTTAGACTTTGAACATTTTAAATTTGTTTCTAAATGAGAGACATTCGAAATTGTTTGAAAAGCCATGATTTTCTTTCAAAAGGGACGCAAATGGGCAAGAACATGAAATGAACTCTGAAAATGACACTTGATGAACTCCAAACATGCCATTTATTCCAATTGGAAACTGGTTCCAATTTGAAACTTTTAAAAAGGCGAGTCATTCACACCAAACACGTTGGGTTCTATACTTTAGAACCGTAATATGAAATCTGATACCTAACTCCGTTTTAGAGAAAATGATTCTCAAACGGAGTTAAGTGTCAAATCTCAACATTGCTAGAATCATTTTGTTTACTGTGTTGTTCCAGGCAAAACGGCTTTGCATTGCCTTTAATTGTATTTTATTGCTCACCTGTGCCGATTTTCATATCCACCGAAAGTGGCCGTTCCGTTTTGTGAGTGACGAATATACTCCAGCATGGCCATCGATCGTCGATATTCCTGTGAAAATTTATTCATTCAATACAAAACTAGACAAATAATTCTTCAACACCATTTGTGTATGAATTGAGCCAATTCTCAGTAGAAAAAGCATAAAAATAAAGATAAAAAAAAATTCATGATAGCAACGGAAACGATACAAATATACAAACCAATTCAGAATTTTGTTTAAATATAAATAAAAGTATGTGATATTTGTGTGAAGCAGGCGGGCCAATGAATAAAATTCGAATCGAAATCATTTCAACTGAAAAAATAATGATATCATTTGATATAAATGTGATTAAGCAACTCATAAAAAATTAGTGGAACAGTTTCATCTGTTATTTTTTTCTTCATTTTGTTGTTGTTGTTGTTGTTGAAATTTCTTTTGTTTATTGAGATGTAATCGCACAAAATAAAATAGTAACATTAAATCAGCATATACATATTGAAATGGCCATAATTCATAAAAATTAATAACAATTCATTAGCTTAACGAAAACAAAAAAAAAAAATTGTATGTCTTGTGCAAATATGTAGAAAACATAAAAAATAAAAAACAAAATGAATTGATGCGTCTTATTTTAGAAAAAAAAATTCTGCTTTTTCTCTTCCAGAAAAAAAAATGATTTAGATAAAGAGTGACAAAAAACAAATAGAAAATGTAATAAATAATTTTGTCTTTTCCATCGAGATATTGCATACCGTATATGAATAAATATATTTCAGGCAGGAAAAATAAATGTAATATAGTATATTAGCTTAAAATCAAAAGGAATATTGCATTAAAATCCAATTATTCACAAAATGTGAGAGAACGAACAAAAAAAAAACATATGAGATAAATTGCCACTCAAATTGGTGAATTTAACCTCTCAGGTTGGAATGCGAATTTCAGCGACAATCGAAAGCAAACAAAAGGCAAAAATTCGCTATAGTTCGACTTATTTCAATTTTCACTATGGCAACGAGGAACTTGATTAATCGCTTCCGATCGCCATTGAAACCGCCCATTCCAACATATCAACACGCCGGATTAGAATTTATTCTTAGCAACTAGAACACTTCGCTTGGTGACTTAAGCTTATCAATTTAAATATCTTTGCATAAAAAGTATCACACATTCATTGCTCAATAAACAAGAGAGAGAGAGAGAGAGAGAGAGAGAGAGAGAGAGAGAGAGAGAGGGAGAGAGAGAAAACGGAGGCAGCGACCCATTTTCAATACAGATGTGCGTAACAGAATTGAAGAAATTCTGCAATTGGGATAAAAAAAAACATCGAAATTGTTAAAATTATTATTTCAAGCAAAAATTTGACACATTTTCATCAATTCAATATTTTAATTGATTGTCATTGAATGGACAACATCTCGACTGTGATGTTTTTCCTTTGTTTTTATTCCATGAAAATGGAAACGCATATATGCGTTGGAAGAATTAATGTTTTGGCACTCAAAATCGGTTCACATCAATAGCTGTGGGAAGTACGAGCCTTCGAATGCTCATGAATCATCATTTCTTTTTTTTACCGAAAAGAAACTATAATCATAAGTTATGCATTCACAAGGAATAGTTTTACATTTCTTGATATTTCGAGAAGTTTCTTCGAATAAAAAGAAACTTTTTCGATTTGATTGCATTTCGTCGAAATAACAACGAATTACTTGATAATACCGAAATCCAACAAATTTGTTTTCAACGGGATTCCGAAAAAAAAAGTTGAAAAAGAAAAAAATAATTTAGAAACGAACATTTTGAATCGTTTTGAATGTAGACTTTTGTACTTTTTATCAAATTTGGATGCATCATCATTCGACTCATTCCAACAATGAATTCAAATTCTAAACCAGCTAATCAGTTTGCTCGAAAAAAATTGTTTGCTTAAAAATAACGGTTTTCAAAATGCGGTGCTGACCGAATTAATTTTAATTGTAAATAAATGCCCTATTTATCAGAATAAATGCCGTTGATAATAAGCCAAAACAATGACTCATTGTTGACTGCCGTTAAAAAGAAAGTACAGATAAATCCCGTGTATCATCTCCACTTGTATTGTTTTTTACATTGAAGGGCGTTGCACGCACCTTAACATTCACAATACAAACTCAATGCGAGTGGAGACGCCTTATGAAAAATGGCACAGATTGCTAGTGCTAAGGTTTATCTGTACTTTGTTATGAATTGTCATGTGACGTTGAATCGCATTGAAAATGGGCCACTGTCATAAATATGTATGTATGTATATATGGGTGAATAAAATGTAACAAAAAAAAAAAGTAATGCATAATAAATCAGCAGATTATGAATCACGGTGAAGTGAAAATTTAATTAAAACTGATAATTGATAAATAATTTATGTAAATTGATGAAAAGAAGCGGCGATGCAAAAAAAAAAAAATTCGAAATACATTTCTGGACCGATCGAAAAATAAAATAAAATCTAATCAAAACAATAGTTTTAGCTCATGTATGTGTATATATATAAATCTCATACGACTATTATGTTGATTAATGCAAATCAAAATGCGAATAAATTAAATAAATAAAATCATAATAGGAACACTTGAAATGTTCTGTAGAATAGTATTTGAAACGAGCGGATAGCAAGTTTGTTCTTGTTTGTCTTTTGTTTTATCATTATTGTTGTTGTTGTGTTGTATGTGTAGTGTTGTTTTTTTTTCAGTGTTTATTGTGTGTACACGCCTAAAGGCTAGGGCTCACCCACCTGACTTAGTGGCCGTATGCGGTCGAGAATGACTCGTTCAGCTGTTTTTGCGTTTGGCGGTGGATGATCGGGCGTCGGAGGTTGTCTATAGTTAGACGGTGACATTGGAGTGTTGTCGTTATCATTGTGGCTACTGTTGTTGCCGTAACTGTGACGTGACCCACTTTAACGGTTTCACACGCAATATCGAGCCCAGTTCACGAAGTTCACGGTTTTGTGGTTTTTGATTGTTGTTGTTGTTGTTGTTTTTTTTATCGAAGTAGAAATAAAGCTCATGTTAAATTATGTGTTAAATTAGAACAAACGAACGAGAAATTCAAATAAAAGGAAAAAACTGCCACTTACTTTTGACTATAGTCATAATTATCACGGATGCGTCTCAGTTTTCGATTTGGATTGTATGATCGAAGCGGTGCGGCTAGCATTGAGTCTCCATCTTCGTCCATATTGCCAGCCGATTTCATTAGATGCTCACTCATTTGCTTAAGTACGGCTTCGTGCTTCTCCTTTGCAGCTGGACTCATCATTTTCACATAATTTTGGCATTGATCCACACTGGCTGCTTTATTCATAGTCGATTTTTTGTCGCCACTTTGTGCCAAATATAGATACTCATACGGTGACGTTTGACTACTACTACCGCTCATATTACTTCGTGCTGATACGATGGATTTTGATGTGCTCGGTGAAATCGATAAATTTCGACGCGGCGGCTTCTTTGGCGGTGTCGGCTATTTTCAATTTTCAAATTTTTACATGACAAACAACAATTTTACCGTTAATTCTCGTTTTATGCTCATTTTTTTGTCTTTCGCATGAATGTGTTTGCTTTTGTCGTTCGGACAAAAGTGTGTATATAAAATGAACATCAACACTCACCGATACTTTTGAATTACTATTTAGTGGCGTCATTGTCACATAGAATCCACCGTTGTTATCACCACCCGCACGCATTCGAGGCGATGCCGGATCCAAACTACCTACTGACGACGAAGGACTCTCCAACATGCTACTTGCGTCGTTGCTGTTATATCGGAGAAAAGAAAAACACAGTTGAAAACATACTTGAGCTGAAAACTGGTGAACTGACGAAAAAATCGTTTAAATCAACCAAAATATTTATGATGACGGTTCAAAATTCAGAAGTTTTGAAATGAAAAAAATCAAAAAGTTAAATTTCAAAATGAAAAACAGAAGAACAGTGTTGGCTTCGAACGGTTCGATTTTCAGCACTACATAAAATGTGAAACTATTAGATTTGTTCGTTTTATGAGTGTTTAGACACGATATTTTGTGGACGCTTCGGCTGATTCCGTTCAGCAATATCTTATCATTGTGATGCTTTCAATACATTGATATTCCGACGTTCCGTTGAACGTACACATCAAACAAATAGAATCAATCTCTGATCTCATCGAACACGGTTTTTTCTACAAAAGCCGTGACATTTCGAACAAGTGTAACAATTGCGAAAAGAGAAACACTTCGAATTCATTTGGCTTGAAGTCACGATGTCAGTCATATTCACGGAAATGGAAAATCCAAATAGCTGTCAAGCAAGCCCATCGAATACCGGAGCCGCCGTTATTGTGCGTGTATCAATTGATCCGTCGACTTATGATAAACTTCCGTTTCCAAAGGATTATAAATATTTCTCGTGTTTACGATTGCGAAAATATATCGACTGGGCCGAACGTATTCGAAACTTCAAGGTTCGACCCGACGATATTTGGGTGTTGAGCTTTGCAAGATCTGGTAACAGTTTCGCATAAATAATACAAAAAAAACATTTTTCCGAATATGGTTGCAAAATACTGTGAAGAATGAAATTGAAGAACAATATTGATTCAACTACGGATTTTGTATCTCCAAGTTTTAATTTGCTTGAGTTTTCCACATTCCTTAATAAAACCGACGGAGATGAAAAATTGGCAGAATTTATTGAGCTGACCGAAAGAAGTTTTGAAGCGCTGCATACAATTCCATCACCACGATTGATGAAGTCGCATTTACCAGCCTTTTTTACTTCCCATTGAAATATGGACTGTTCAGCCAAAGCTCATTCATATTAGTCGCGATGCTAAAGATGTGGCTATTTCGCATTTTCATATGGTCCGCAATCGAGCTCCATTTTATAATGGAAGTGCACATGATTTTTTCTGTAGCTATTATAACGACTACATTCTCAATGGTCCATTCTATGAGCACGTTCAGAGTTTTCATCAGCTTCATTATTTGAATCATCTACACCTCATGACATACGACGAAATGACAGCCAATACATTGTTGTCGGTTAAGCGATTGAGTGAGTTTTTTGGAATGTTCATACAATGATGAACAGTTACAACAACGCATTGACCATGTTTCATTTTTAAAAAATGCGAGAAAAAATCAAATTAAATGCAGCACATCCAAGTGCTCCTGATCCTGATATCAAGTAAGATATTTTTCTAATTTACCTAATCGGACCTATAGTAGTAAAATGATTAAATTGCCCAATCATTTTTATTTCAGATTCTGTCGAAAAGGTAAAGTTGGCGGCTATGAAGATAAAATGACCGAAGAAGATATCGAAAAATTTGAAGAATGGACAATTCGAAAGAAGAAAGTACTGGGAATGGTCTGAATGGGTCTCACTTTGTTTTATACGTAAATTTAGTCAATTATCAATCATAGAATAATGTGTCTTCAACGATTAAATAATTTGAAAATGTATCTATGATTTTGATTGATGTATCCTTTATTTTTGGTTAAACTTTTTAGATTTATTGTATAATTTATTATTGTCCTCTTCCATAACAAACATAATCTACTCTCAATTTTGCCCATAGAATGCATTCAAAATTGTTTGAACGACCAGAACAACGAAAAAAAATGTCATTGATTCAAAATTGAAATTATCAAAGAAAGAAAATCCTAACAATGTTGAGAATTTTAAATTAAAATCGCCAAGTGAATCAACTGAAGAAACATGTAAACTCACCTGTATGAGCTCCATGCATGACTATCTCGGGTACCCCTTGAATGATATGACTGATCGTCATAATAACTTTCACGAGATGGTATATTTCGCGACACTTTTAAAATGTCTTCCTGCTCGCTATTGCTCAATGCCAATGAATTTTGGTAATCTATCGAAAGAGAATGGAATCGTATTGTTTGTAACAAGTTTGGAGCGAAGAAGTCAATCAATTTCCACAAAAATCGAAAACCATCCATTGAAATCCAGAGCCAGTTTCGAGGCAGAACAAATTGTCTCGATTTTTTCGGAATGTCAACTTTTCCCACTGAAAAAAAGAGAAGAAAGTCTTATCTACTCAACAGCTCAGTACTTACTGTTAATGACTGATACAATTCCTCGAGTAACATGCGGTGGAAATTGTTTCAATAGGTCAAGTGCAGTTCGTCCTTCGCTATCGGTCACACCTAAATCCGTGCCGTATTCAAGTAGAATTTTCACAACCGAGTCTTTACCACAAAGTGCCGCTTCGTGCAGAGCCGTTCCAGTCGTGGTCAGAATATTAACATCAACACCAGCCGCTAAAAGTACCTCAACGACATGTTTATGGCCATTACGACTGGCCAAATGGAGTGGTGTATGTGTGTGAATGCTGCGTTTTTTATCATTATAATGTTTTTTATACGGATGAATGAGCTCGGGATGAGCACGAACTAGCATTTGAACGACTTGTAGTCGACCATATTGTGCGGCCAAATCGAGTGGCTTCTCACCGCGGCTATTCACCATATTCGGATTGGCACCGTGTGCTAAAAGTGTGCACAGTGCTCCGGTGTGACCGTGCTGTGAAGCGCAATGCAACGGTGTTTCATTGTCAATGGTCTAGAATTAGTGGAAAACAACAATTAAACGTAATGACATTTCCCGTTTGGTGTCGAAGCAGCCAAAGAAAATCTCTATTGCACACGAAATGCATATTTACTTGTAAATTCGGATTTGCTGGTCGATTCGATTGAGTAAGCAATAGTTTCACAATGTCTTGATGTCCTGCCCATGCCGCCAAATGGAGTGGCGATGAACCTCGACTATCTGGTAAATTGGCAGAGGCTTCGTGCATCAACAGCAATCGAACACATTCAATATGCCCATTCAGACTTGAATAATGCAATGCCGAATATCCGGCGCTGTCTTGAATATTGGCGCCGGGACCTCGTCGTAAGCTGGAAACATAAAACCAAAAAAAAAATAAGCATTAATCCATAACCAGTGTCAACGATATTTCGTCGTCGTGGACGAAAAAAAAACAACAAAACACTCATAGATGTTTCGGTCGTTATGTTTTGAATTTTGACATTGGTGTGTCGTAAGGCAATGAGACAAGGGTTTGATTTTCTTGTGCCGTTCACAACGCGGAAGTGTGTTGTGTGTCTTGTGTGTACGCTGTACGCACATGTATAACGGTAAGGAATGAACTGAGACGAAAGGAAAGGAAAACAACACACACAGAACGGTTGGTATGTGCAACATCGTGACCATGCGTACTCATTCAGATGAACAACACACCAACATAGTGTCGTGTTGGTGCCCTTTTTTGACGGAAACGATGAAGTGAAGAAGAAACCATAGAACCTTTTTTCATCGTTTCGTATTGTCTAGCAAAAACATTGAGCCATGACTATACATTCTCGCCCGAACATCATCTCTCGCACACTCATTCACACACACACACACACACACACACACACACACGTACGCACCATCACCACCATCATACCATCACACCACCGTGTACATCGAATATACGATGTATGGCATATATACACATATTGTTCCATATAACTTACCTAGCCAATGGACCACTCCTTTTACCTCTTTGGCTGAGGATTTTTTCGATTAATGTTATGTTCCCATTTCGAGCTGCATCCAAAAGTTCAGCTTCTTTGCCCATTTTTTCAGCCGTTAGCCAGTCGTTTCGTACTGTTTATGCTGAAAATCAATTCAACAAAATGATGAGCAACTTTGCAACTGTCTCAGAGGCGATAAACACCTCCGATACTTTGATGAAGATAGAAAAATGCTTTGTTCGTCACTCTGGAGTTTAAAGAAAAATAGACACAGAGAAAAAAAAAACGTACAATGAAAACGATTGAAATGTCAGGTATTAAAAAATGTTGTAAATGTCCACAGAATGTGGCAACAATGATCTCAACCAAACACACACACATCAATCACTGTTTTTTTTCTCCTCAATTAGATTCCACACATTATCGCACATGCTACACTCTTTCAGCCCATCAATTTGATTGTTACTTTTCTTTTGTTTACATATTTCATTCGGTAGCCCAGCCGTGTGAATAATTACATAGTGATTAGGGAACGACAATTAAAGGAAACACACTCGTATTGTAGCAGTGTGTACTGCCTGCAATGGGAAATTGCACTGCACAACCCAGCTAAAAAAATATCACACATATCGCACTATCGGTCACGAACAATACGAATCGATACGCACACAGCCCATTTTGAATACAGTTAGGCGAGTAAAGATTGAGAAAAAAAGAACAGGCAACCAAGCCAAGTAGTCTCTCAAGTCTGTTAGTTTTTTTTATTGTCGTTTTGCGATTATCATCTTTTCTACCGTACGGTGTGCCACATCAATTTAAATCAATTGAACTCTATTTTGGTAGTGGCGAGTAAAAATCGCATCGCACATTGATTACACGAATTTTGCACTGAACAAACTGTTCTACACGAATATAAATGGAATCACTTATCCATTCATTTAGTGACCACAATTTCTTTGTCAACTTGATGTTGATGATTTTCTTCTCGTCTCTGTGTCTATTCTATCTTCTTCTCGTTCATTCTCTCTCAACACCGTATTTTGGCCTATTAAAAAAAAATATGGAAAAACTAGTTCAAACCACACTGAACACACTCTGAAATGAACTTAAGTCACGATCGAATCCCGATGATTACACACAATAAACAATAATTTTTTATTTCACTTATCAATTTAAAAGCGATTTCACACTTCGTATCACATAATAATGTATAATCGAAGATGCGTGCATATTTACCTTTTTTCCACTCACTCTCTCTGCCTAGGATGTTATTGTCATCAATGTTGTAACAACAACAACAAAAAACGAGAGAAAAGCATAACAGAAACAGAATTGGATGGCAAAACGCGAACAACAAACACACACTCACCAAAAACAAAAGAATCGAAAACCGAAATAAATTAAAACTCAAAGAAAACGGAACACACAATCAAAACGATTTTTGTTGGATTTTTTCTTTCTTGCGTGTCAAAAATACCAGCAATTTTGCCAATTTCGAAGCAATTCCATCGTTTTTGTCACTTACAGCTGAAAAGTGTGTGTTGTGTGTAAGATAATTTTATTTTACTATTTTTGCGTGCTCATTTACGATTCAACTGACATTTCGATCGTGTATTTATGTGTTGGATGTGTGTGCATGTATGTGTGTGTGTGTGTGGCTGAAAAAGTCGCAGCAATTGCACACCAATATATACACACCAATACACATACAATGCACACATTCAGTCGCTCTGCTACTCTATGTGTGCCTCGATTGATAGCTCTCTACCGTGTGACAGAAAGCGCGATACACAACTGTTCAACACATCACAACGCAACATACCAGAACAACAAAAGAATGTCTCTCGAGTGCATTGCGTTAGAATGGAAGCTTTCAATAGATGGCGTTCAAAATAGAAACTTTTATCCTTTTTCTACCCGCTTTTCTAATGGAATATTCAAATTGGATAATTTATTACTCTGGCTATGCATTTTCTATGGATACTTTTGAATGTGAAATCGCTTTCACTACTGCGAACGAAAATTATACACGATACCACGATACCGAATCGCGTCATAGTCCAACTTCAATCTCAGTGCTTCCTCAAGTAAGTTCATTTGATAAAGAATAACATTTGACATTCAAAATACCCAAAATTGCGAATTATTATCAATTATTTCTATTTATTTTCAAAATGTTCAATACATCGAATCATATCGCTCAAAAGTGTTATAAATTCCATCTTGATCGGGGGAGCGTATATTTTGTAAATACTTTGGAAAACTTCAGGCCAGCACAATAACCATAAACAAGCATTCATATTATAAATTTGCAATAAAATCAAACCACATTTGAGGTGCTATTCAAAGACAGATTCAGCTGTGATTATTAAACTTCGTTTAGCTTTTCGGAGAAATATCACGTATACATTTTAGTTGCTTTTCTCGAGAGTTTACTGTACGTTCAATCAACGAAGAATATCCCGTGCTATGGATTAATAGAAACGATTGCATCAATGCAATTCTAAATTGATGCTAAGTCGATGTGTCTCATCTGAATACTTTTAAATGTGTTTTTCGCGTCACAGCTGTTCGCTTTCTCATCTTCAATATAAGTGATTTGCTGAGAATTAACAGTTTCATCTGATATTGAATGACTTTTGATATTTAAAAAAAAACCGGAATTGTTATGATAGCTAATAGAGCGTTACTACATGATGACATTTTTACACTTCAATGTTTGATCGCGATTTCATCGCTGATTGTAATACATTGCCCTATGATTATTATTACTTCGAAACAGACCAAATTATTTTGGAGAAGAATCAACGCACAAACGGTATGAAATAAATATTGGTACGATATTTTTGCGCCCAAAAAACATTGATGTCTTCGTTTTACTTTCGTGCTTTCGGTGTATGTTGCATAGAGTCAGCCTTGTATCACAAATTGGAAATTATTTTTATTTTTACCCTGAATGAATTTTAGTCTCGATCGAATCCCAAAGATTACGCACAATCAACAATTTTCTTTTTTCATTCAGAATATTCCAAAAATCGTGCCAAATTATTTTATAGCTCGAAAGAAGAAGCGAAAAATGATGGTTTCCATTGAAATTCATTTAAGAATCGGACGGAGTCATCAATTGATCGTATAAATATATATATATATATATTCCTTTTGCATTTATTATGATCATTTTCATCATGATTTTTGACATTTCTATGCCGATTTTGGGAAATTTTCTGACGTTTTTTCATTTATCCATTTCATTTGATAATGAACGACTTTTGAGATTAAAAACACACCCGGAACTGTAATGATAGCTAATGGGGCGTTACTAAATGATGATATTTTTACACGGTTGTAGTTTAGCGTTTGTCCGAGATTTTATCGCTAATTATAGCAGAAATACTCTGCTATGCCACGCAGACAAGAAAATACGATTGTTTGGATTTACACTAAAGTATAAAACAAGTGCGCGCAGTAGCTATAACAATTAGTTACAAATTTATTCTCTTCCATCTGCAAATTGTTTAGTTTTACTAGCAAAAGATGAGACGTTTAATCGCAATCATTCTCTTAGTTGCGGCTTGTGTCATTAATAAAAGTGTTCAGGGTAAATTTTGAATAACTCCATTGATAAACTTAGTGTAATATGTCGGTCTTATCACAGAATCCTATGACTACGGATATAATGACAGGGATGATTTATTATTAGAATATACCAGTAACGGTGAGCTACGGGATATGTCATTATTCTTGTTCGTAATCCTTACAATTGAAATGAAATCCATTCCATTCCATTGGTTTACTTAGGCAACTTGACTGCCGCTCAAAAACTCATCTCCGAAGGTGTTGATGTTAATGCTAAGGACGACCGAAATAGCACATCACTCCATTATGCAGCTGAAAATGGTAAGTCATCCATACACCTCCGTTTGAGATTTTCAATTTTCATTGGATTTTTCTCACATTATCTTTTCAGGATATGAGAATGTAACACGGTTCCTTCTTGAACATGGTGCAAAAGTGGATGCAAAATGCAGCGGTGAAATGACACCACTGCATTGCGCAGCTCTAGCGGGTAAATCGTTCACACACACACACACACACACACATACACATCTCCATTGGAGGTTTTCGTTCTTCATTGTTGTTTCCACACATTATCTTTCCAGGCCATGAGAATGTAGTTCGAGCTCTTATTGAACATGGTGCAAATGTTAGTGCCGAAGACGTATGGGAACAGACACCACTCCATTACGCAGCTTCTTTTGGTAATCCGTTCACACATCTTCATAAAAAGTTTCCCTTTTCATTAGAGTCTCTCTTTTCTTATTCAGGCAGTGTGGGTTTAGTTCGAGCTCTTATTGAACATGGTGCAAATGTGAATGCTGAAGAGTGCAACAAACAGACACCACTTCATCACGCAGCTTCTTCGGGTAATTCGTTCACACATCTCTCCGTTGGAGATTTGCATTTTTCATTGAAGTTTTCTTCATTATTTTTTCAGGCCACGAGAATGTAGTTCGGGCTCTTGTCGAACTTGGTGCAAAAATAAATGCTGAAGACGAAAAAAAAGAAACACCACTTCATCGTACAGCTTATGGGCGTAAATCGTTCACACATCTACATCAAAAGTCTCCCTATTCTCATTGCAGCTTCTCTCATTATATTTTCAGCCAATAATATGGATGTTGTTCGGACTCTTATTAAACTTGGTGCAAATGTTAATGCTGAAGACTACGCTAAATGGACACCACTTCATCGCGCAGCTCATGAGGGTAAACCGTTCACTTCATTTATCACCGTTACAGTTTTTCTTTTTATTGGAATTTTTTTTTTTACACTTTCTCTCCAGGCCATGAAAAGATAGTTCGCGTTCTTATCGAACTTGGTGCAAAAGTGAGGGCTGAAGACAAAGATGAACAGACACCACGTCAATTGGCCGAAGCAAACAGTAGGAGTTCAAATTTTTTACCGAAACTATATTAAAAATTGTTATGATTTTATTTCAACAGTAAGTGCGACGGAAGCACTCCAAATTTTGAATGAAGCTGAAGACAAACTGAGACAACAACAACGAGAAAAATATACCAAATAAATTATAAGCCCTGACCAATGTATCCGAAACGCATAGAAACAGTAATATCGCATAATGTCACTGTGCAGAGCGATGCTCGTACGTTATCACATCTATCGTCATATTTCACATCTAATGATATTTGGTACATTCTTTCAATTCAAATAATAATTAAAAACACACTTTACCAATTTTATGTTTAAATTTTACGAGGTTAGTCATCATACCGAAATGATATTTTGAGTTATGTCGAGAAATTATTACAAACTCGGTTGTTTGATGGTTGTTCAATCGATTTATTGGAATGTTACGTGACTATTTTTAATCAAGCTCTAGTATTATCTGATTTAAAAATGCACTCTGAGTTTTTCTCCGATGCCTTGCTTCGTGTAATCAACAAAAAATATCCTGTGGTTGGGATTCAAAATAGCGGATTCATCAATGCAATCCAAAATTTTAATCCATAATGTATCCCAATAGATATTTTGGAATTCCGAAAAATCGGAATTTGGAAACATTTTGTTCCGATCGAACTCTAACATCCGTTATATTCTCTTTGAGTGGAGAATGCGCCGCAGTGAGCTGATAAAGGTGAATTTTGTAACTACCAATAAAAATTATTCACAACAACAAAAGGTATCATCATAGCTATTTGCTTTCAAGTCCAACTCCAATCTCAGTGCTTTCTAAAGTATTTCATTTGATAGAGAATGACATTTGACAATCAAAAACTCCAAAATTGTTATGATGAAAGTTAATTATTTAGTTTCTTACAGTAACAACAACAGCAGTGAAAAAGAACGCAAACACAACGTATTAATAGTGTAACACACATTGGTACTAGTGAATATATCATAGCATTGTATGGCATTGCCACCGCGTACGCGCTCTTCTCATTCAACTGCTTTAGCATATAATCCAACGAGAAAAAAACACCAAACCGTGCGTGGTAAGCGAAAATCTTTTTTACTGGAGCGTTGTACGAGTAAAGTATAAAATCAGAGCGCGCATTGAAAATAATAGTTAGTTCTGAATTATAACATTTTGGTAACTTGACAATGTTCAACTCGAATCGGGCCACCGTTTACTAATACAACGCATAATCAAATCAATTTTTTTTTATTATTTTGTGTGAAAAAAAAATCAAAAACTCTTTCAAACATCTAAATAGTTTGAACAATGTTCAGTGCATACACCACTCGAATTTACTGTCGTAAAAAATTGTTCTTTTTATAATAATAATTGAGTAGTAATTTCCTAGGGGGAAAGTACTTCATTGACACGTATTGACAAATATTCACAGGCATTTGCACTGCGTTCCGTAGTGTTATTGTTGTTGTTTTCTTCTGTTGCTTCGTCTCGTTCGTGGCAAGCAGGAATGACAGTTGCAAATACGCACATTTTATTGACCATATTTGCATGCATTCGCAGCTAGTTATTCAGCACATTGACACTCATTGACACGTATTGATCCAAACTCGGTAGAATATGCGATTATTTACAATATTTATAATTTTCATTTACTCAGTTCTTTCCCCCCTAGGTAATTTCAATATCATATATTCAGTGTCGATTAAAAATTGGATTTCTGAAATGATTTCGAAATTGATGGGATAAAAAGTGAACCATTCCGATTAGAATTAGGCCCATAATTTGATCCAATCAACGTTGAATTGAATACAAAAATATGAATTGAAAATTTTGCTTTTTAATCTGTTAAATCGTTTGAATTTGTTTCATTTGCAAATAATTTAGCTTCACTGGCAAAAGATGAGATTTTCATTCGAAGTCATTCTCCTAGTTGCGGCTTGTGTCGTTGATAGAAGTGTTCACGGTGAATTTTGAATAACATCATTATCATTGATAAGCTCTGCAATTACTCTAACATATCCGTCTAATTACAGCACCCAGTGACAAGGAAGATCTATTGATAAAATATTCCAAAAACGGTGAGCCACAGAATACCTCATTAATCTTGTTCGTAGTCCTTACAATTGAAATCCATTCCGTTCCGTTCCATTGGTCTACTTAGGCAACTTAACTGGCATTTCAAAAACTTATTGCAGAAGGTGTTGATGTAAATGCTGGAAACTTATTTAAAAGAACACCACTTCAATTTGCAGCTAAAAACGGTGAACCGTTCACACATCTCCAATCAAAGTTTCCCCTTTCATTACAGTTTCTTTTTTTCCTTTTCAGGTCATGTGAATGTAGTTCGTGCTCTTATTCAACACGGTGCTAAAGTTGATGCTGCCGACAAGTTGCAAGAGATACCACTTCATTTTGCAGGTAAATCGTTCACATATCTCCACCGAAAGTCTTCCTATTCTCATTGCATTTTCTCACTTCATCTTTTCAGACCATGAGAACGTAGTTCGGGCTCTCATCGAGCTTGGTGCAAATGTGGAGTCTAAAAACTATTTCAAGGAGACACCACTTGCTCATGCAGTTATTTTTGGAAAATCGACTACATATCATCACCCAGAGTCGTCCTATACTTATTGCAGTTTCTCATATTATCTTTTTAGCCAATGAGAATATGGTGCGGGTTCGTATCGAACTTGGTGCAAAATTTACTTAAACAGATACAGACGAATTGTTACGATTTTATGTGCGAAATAGCTTATATGGACGTGATGTCCGTGATGATTCTGAAGAAAACTGGGGAAAAACTGAAACAACAACAACAACAAACCACACGGATATAATCTCGCATTGATGCAAAAGTGTAAAATTGTAAAGCGAATGACGGCAAAATTTCGTTCAAAAAATTTCCCAATCAAATCAACTCGGCATGTTTATTCTTGTATTCATGCTAAAACAATAAAAAAGATACTGAACAAATATAAAAAATAAAACAAAATACAAGTGAAATAAAATCCGCAAATATTTCACGCGCTTTAGTCATATGATTTCTCAATATACACTTATGCACACGGAAAAATTGTTATGAATCTTAATATTGGTTTTTCTTTTTCTCGAATCTATACCATAGATTTGTTACCACTACATAGAATTTGTTTCGTTGAAAAAAGAAACTTTGGTTGTGTTGGTATGAAATTTAACAGAAATTTTTTTTCGGCGGAAAAAATTGTCTGTCGTTTGACGAGTTTGTACAAATCCAAACATTCATTTCAAATGTACTTTGGGTTTTGCGCGCAATTCGGTTCGGTAGCGGGTGCTTTCGAAGCTTTTTTTTCGTCAAGTCGAAGCTTTCAGTAGAAGCCATCCAAAGTTGCGTACAATCATTTCGCCCGGAATAAATTCTTATTTGAATCTAACCGTTTGGTTTGTCTGAAGATTCCCCTCTTCGAAAAGTGTCGGTTGACATTTGACAAAAATTATATTAAATTTGGGACCAAAACAAGTATTTTGAATATCTCTCATAACTTCCAATTCCTTTTTTGGTGCACCTTTTCGTCGCCCAAACAATCAAACAATTGAATGATCTAAAATTGCTTGGGCAAAATGTACGTTAGTTAATAATAGTTTGTTTTATCAATTTTCGAACCACATTAAGATCTTGAAGAATATTAACGACTCCTATGTTTAGTTTCCATCGGTATATGCGCAAACGATCAACATATTGTCCGGTGTCCGTTCAGAACTATGTATGAAACAATTGCAAGATAGTTGCTAATTTGTAATACGGTAACAGGACATGAAATAGTGTTTGGCATTAATTACAAATACGTCCCTTGGTTTTAGTTTTTTTTTCCATTGGTGACCATTGAATTGTGCGAGCGCAACGACAGCAATTGCGACAACCGTCGTGCTACATGTGTGTCAGAAAGGTAGCGTGCTTAACACACTAACAACTGACTCTAAATCAGCCGTGCATTAAATGCAACGCATACACGCACCCTTTGAACAGCTGTTTCGATGAAAAATTCCCGCGCGTTTTTTTTCCTTTCTCTCTTCAATCGTTCAGGACACACAGCAACGCTTCAATCACACTCACACTCACACATAATTACATACGCATATGCCTCCGAGAAAAAGAGGGTGAATATATTTTCGATTCATATGGACATGAAAAGAGATATGATATTTTCTTGTCGTCCCATCATTTAATCCCCATCGTTCAATAATTCGATTATTTTCCATTAAACAGACATTCGACGTACATTAAATTGCCGAGCGTGTGTGTGTTAGTGTGTGTGTGCCTATCCCGATGAAGAATCGCCATGAAATTGTGCCAAACGGTAAAATCGCTTCAATTCACTTCAATACCCTCCTTTTAAGACAAGGAATTTAAAGAAAAATTGCCACTTTGGGCTTCAAAGAGAATGGAATTATTGACGAGATACTAAAAAATATTTGCCAATTTCTGAACTACCTGAAGTTTTGAGTGAAGAAAACTTTTTTTTACCTAAGAATTATGTTGCTTATGGAGATAGGGCCATCGAATCAATGTTGACGGTTGAATCTTAACGATTGTGATTTTATTACGAGGAAGTGATGCATTTTCCTTGCGTCAAACAAACATGTAAGCTATAATATGAACGATGATTCAAGCGATGATAATAATTCATTCGCTGTCATGCGCCAAATAAATTACAACCATTAAAATCAGGAGTGGCAACAATGCTATGGATTTCGCCGTCCAATTCAAATTATCACCCATACTTGAGATTCAAATTCAACATTTCTCCTAAATGTGGCGAAATTTATTACTTCATCGAGGGAAAAATATATCTTGGAATTAGACTTGAAGGCGATGAAATTCTCGCGGTATATGAATTAATAATCCTTATACCTATGGCAATTTTCATTACAATTTTTCCCAATTCTCTCATTCACTCTTCACTTATTTTGGAAAGAAAAACATCAATTTTCAATTTGAGGATTTTAAAATACTTATTTTTTTAAGTAAAACGAGCAATAATTTCGTATTTTTCACCAACTTTAAACATTTTTCAACGAAGAAATGAATGAAAATGAAACGAAAACCCTCTATGAAAAGAAAAACCACTAGAATTTATGCAAAATCATAAAATACGTACTCAAAATTGACGATTTTATTCGTAATATACCGTTTGCACATTGGAAATTTCTTATTTTGATTCAAAATTGGAATGGAAACTCAACAGAAATTCAATCGAAAATCATCCACGATAAAGTCTCGAAGAAGTCTCCATCTCAAAAACTTCACGATGAAGTCTCCACCTTTTGTTGATGATATTATATACGCCCATGGTCTGAACCGTCAAAAAAGATCATAATCATCAGCAAAAAACCAATTCGGTTTAATAGCAATTCGTAATGTGATCCTATTTTGATATGACATCTTTCAACTTTGCCGCATAGTCCAAATTAAATTTATTTCAATTAACAAAGGTATTTGAATTAATTACCAACTGGTGTGCGAATCAATAAATTAACAAAAAGCTTATAAACCGAACAAAAAACTGTTCACATTTGGCGCCAATGAGTCCATTGTTTTAATAAAAAAAAACTGTTTTTAACGTGTACAGACTAAAGTGGCTTATATTCGGATGAAGGACGTCGAAAAAAAGGAATGCTCAAATGCAAATGTTGGTGTTAACAATTGATATAGAATTAGAGATAGAAGAAAGTGGAGAGCAGATGGTCCATTAGTTGAAGCGAGTGTTAAGGAGTATCTCAAACTGAGCAATGTAAAGTCGTGCAGACATTTAATTAACGACGGATCGTTCAATTTTTTTTCTTCTCGTCTCTTTCTCTCTGTCGTTATCTGCTCCGTTTTTTTTGTTTGTTGTTACAATGGGCATTCATCAGGAGTTGGCATATGTGCGCACACATATTCATAGGCGAAGCAGTGCGATCACATTAGGTGAATCAATTTGAAAGGACTTCTTTCTGTCTATCGATGGTTAAAGCGTGCGTGTGCGTGTGCATGCCTGTCAGCTGTGCCATCAAATGTGAAGATCCTCAAATTGTAAGAAACTTTAATAATTCAAATTATAAAATAAAGAAGAAAAATTGTCAGCAGCAACAGCCAAGACAGGACGATTGTTCGATCAGTATGTTTTCGATTAAATATGGTGTTGAGACAAAGAAAGATCGAAGACTTAGCACAGAGAGAAATAGTAGAAGAAAGAAAAAAACGGAGTTTCGGGCAATAAATTCGATGAGTTGAAAGGAAAAGGACTTCGGATATGTTGTAGCTCATAACAAAATGGAACGAATTCATGATGATAAAGAGAAGAAAATAAAACATACACAAAAATCGAACCGAATGAGAGACACACGGCCAAACGAAGAAGCCAAAAGCCACAAGCAGCAAACACAACGAAAAGGAACGAATAGCGAACGACATAAACATTAATACACACACACGCACACACAACACAGTGAGAGTATGAAAGAATAATGAATCGAAGCAATGAACTTATGCACACAGTTGTTTGTCGGTAGACACAACATCAGCAGCTGCTAGTTCTGCGCAACTGCACAAGAAGGTCTCTTGCTTTATGTTTCTCAAACAAATAACACACGATCACACACATCATTCGCTCACTCTCCATCTCCCTGTAAAACTACAACATGCATCGTGTGTTTTTCTTCTTGAGCCTTTTGCATCGTTTCACGGCGCTCTTTTACCACTGGTTATAGTTTTGGCTGTAATGTGCGTGCTCCTTTTCATTTCATATGATTGCCTTGGCTCGGTTGGTTAGTGTTCTCTTTGTCGCTCTTTTTCGTTCGACCAAATTTGAATAAATATATATGGCACGCACGGATCGCTCTCTTGGTTGCTCGTATCGCAACGAAGACATCACGTTTTAGCCAGGCAATATATGAATCGAAGCCCAACGAAGCCCAGACGCGCCGATATATGCCGATGGGTGATTCTAGCTTATAATGACACAAGAATGAAGGCAACGAAGAAACAGAGAGAGAGAGAGAGAGAGAGAGAGAGAGAGAGAGAGAGAGAGAGAAAAAAACAACACACTCAGAGCCCAAACGAGTGTAAGACGATCAAAGAAAGCAGCTGACATAGTCATAAGACGTTGTGCAATTAAATGTCACACACAAAAGAACTTTAAAAACACGGCGTCTGAATTGCAAAGACTCGACTACAAGAGACGAATAAAGAGAACAACAACAACAGAGACGATGATGATGATGATGAAAACGAAGAAGAAGAGGACAAGCAGATGAAGGAGAGAGAAAAAATATGACTTATTAATCGAAAGGAAGCCAAAATATGAATTGACGATAGATGCCATGGAAGGAATTGCATGGGATCTTAAGACAAGAATGCTGCGCTCACTTAACAAAGACCCACTGAGCGATCGCTCATGTTTTGCGCGCAAAATGGCAGAAAAAGAAGAAGTAGAGAATGAAAACAACGACAGCAACAAAGAGTATATTGGCCTTTCGTGCTTGGTCATGTAGGCCATCGACTACGAAAACCATTCGAAACGATTGTTATGTTTTCGTCTTACGTTCGCTTTCATTTCTGTTCTGTTCTTCCGCACCTTTGCATTTTATGCAGCACATTGATGTGATCTGTCTCTCGTTTTGCTCTCGTTGACTCGCTCCTTTGCCCGTTGTTGGCTCAAAACAATCCAGACTCAACTCAACTTCATAATATAA